ATGATGACATAAGGCCATCTATTACTTTTGTCGTTTCACACATTTTAGCCCGTATTTTGGAGTGTAGAAATGTAAACGAATTCTCCCATGATCCCTATTATATAGGCATTTCAATAAGGTATACATGTGGACGCTTCCAGGAAATCTAAAGTAGTTTCTCTTTTTTTCAGGCCTACGTGGAATGCCTGTTCTCGAAGTCCATCGTGCGCGAACGACAGGAGATTGGTTTAACAAAACACTCACTGAAATGCCATAATGGGGTTTGGATTAGTAAATATTGCTTAAATGAGCTGTCCTCACCGATTAGCATGCAACATACTTTCGCGATATTTCATAAACGAGAGGGTGCGGGCTTTTAGATGAGCACCCTTTCATTTACATATAAAACTAACACCAGCTGACTTTAAGTGTTTCTTTTTTGTTTAGGCTTTTGATGGCTAATCAGGTGTAATAATGATTTGAAAAAGTAATACGACAAAAATACAGCTTTTTGACTTATTTTTTGATCTTAAGGGATCCTTTGTTGTAGTGTCGTATCTGGTTGGTTATAGTCACTGCTCTCTGAGTATTAAGGACGATACAGATTTCGTGAGCCAGAATTCCTTGTGCGTTTTTTCTACAAAATATGACTGAAGTCAAATGGCTATGGAAAAGGAGAGTAAACCGTGCTGCCTAATATAGTAGTCATCTTAGTAAGTGTGCTCTGCAGTTGAATATAAAGTTGGGGAAAGCAGCAAGTGTGGCAGATGATGCGCAAGCCTTCCATCACTGAAGACTTACAAGTCACCGTCCTGCGTACACCGTGCTATGGGACACTCGGCGTACATCGTCCTTCCCGATGGTCGAACTGAAATGAGGCTACCCGTCCACGAGCTATCAGTTAATTCTTCCTAATTGAGTTGCCATCACTTGTTCGTGGGTTTCGTTACCTGTTGTATATCTACCGGTTTTTTTTTCTGAAATTCAGTCCCCACTTATTCGGCAGAATAGTTTTTATACAAACCGTCGCACCTCCCCCAGTGAGGGCATTTGATGAGCAAAGCGTTTAACTCGTACAGTCCCCGATGGTTGGTGCCTTGTTTAGCGCTTATATCCGAACTTGTTACATTGCTGTTAGAGCTTGCACAACTCACTAACCGCCTCCGTTAGATCGTTTGGTCCGTCAGATTCTGCGATGTTTTTTTCCTGATTCTCTGAAAGCTGTTTGACAAAACTCCTGTCTAAATTTGAGCTCCCCGGATGAGCGTTCTCTCTCCGTTTCACCGTCATAATTGAACTATAAGGATATTCCCGCAGCTGTTTGTTAGTTATTTCAAAAGGAAGGATTTACCGAAAACTATAACAACAGGGGAAGACGAACATCATACGCTTTTTGATAAAAATATGGAATTTAATAAATTGATTTTTTGCAATTCTTTAGTCGCTTATTATTATAAATGTCAAAAATGACTGTTAAGCAAAGTATACTTAGGCATTTAATTTTCTAAGCTGACCAGTAACCATTGCGAAAGAATAGACATGTTTTTTTATCATTTCTACCAAGTTTTCTTGTAGAAATTGGTCATACTTTCGCGGCTTTTTGAGTAGCCCAATGTCTTATGCCCAAATCAAAGATTAAAGTCTGTTGTTAAAAACGAGCATGCATTTTTCGTCCCTTGGATGTTCTGCAGCACCTAGTCAACCGTTTATGGCCTTTTGTACAGTTCAGACTTAATGGCATATTGTAAACATGTAAGAGACCTACGTGTTCGTTTTGCAGAAGTTCGCTTTCGTAAAGTAAAATTATTTGTAATATGCAAAGCTCTCTCTGTTTTATTATAAAATGGCTCAGGTTCAACGACTCTTCTCCACTTTGCTTCGCAACAAATCTTCAAAAATACTCTATGGATTTTTCTGCTAATTTTCGTTCATTAAGTTTTTCTGACTGTTATCATCTTTCCGATAACTGTTAGCTGGCAGATATTAAGCGTTCGCAAAATAAAAATATTATTTTGAGATGGAATAATTATATTGTCTGTTGGTTGGACGAGTTATGCGCGTTCATTCCCTTTCATAAACTGTCAAAGTCATTCCTGAATTATTATATTGTGGCCCAAAACAACACCATACCCTCAGTAAAATTGTCCCCGTTTTGACCGCAGGCAGACGTTACGTCAAGTTAAACGGTCCATTAACATATGCTCTTTACCAGTCCAAGATTTAAACGATTTAAAACCCGCACAAGATTAACTAGTCCAAAAGGTCATTTAAATTTTTGGTTGACTCATAAATTGTTACTTTAAGTATCCATGTCGTTTGGAAAATTGGCAAACTCCACTAAAATTACCCTATTTTTCATCACCCATTACGCAATTTGAAATATAGATGCGGATAAAAAGTTGACTAGCAAATGGCACAACTGAGGAAGATGAAGCAATCTGCAGGTTGTTTATTTCGCACCAACATTTCTGAACAATATATGCGGTTATAGAGCACCGGAGACTGATGAAACCGACAGGCAGTTGGGAGGATCACCACAGAGGGCATCGGTTTATCCTCCTTCTGCTTTCGCAAATCTGTCCGGCTGACTGCCGGTGCCTAACGGTGAGGCCGACTCGACTGTCTGGTCTCGCAGCGTCTGCAACCCAAGGGAAAGAACTCTGCGATCGGTTTCCTAACGAGAGTGTTCGTCCTTATAGAGTACTCGCAAGGCCGCGTACTTCTGAGGGAATTGTACGTGCCGCTCCGGTAGAGTGCGTGTTGAATACGCCTACCTTCTCTACATGCCTCAGTCGAGGATTTTGACCGCAGAAAGCCGAGCTCATTGCCAGGCGCGACGACAGACCTAGTCATGTGAGAATTCCGACCGGGTCTTTGCACCGCTTTTCGTATGACCTCAACTATATTTTTGGCTCGTTTTTTTAACTGTAACCGCGCAGTTTCATTCTGACGGATTATGTCGCCTGTTTGCGGATTGGGCCTACTTGATGAGCCCAGTAAATGTGAAACTTCGCGCCGGCTGCGTTAGGTAATGCTGACTGCGAAAAATCTGAGGAGCCTAACGATTGCGTGACTTTTGAGAATGTTACGTTCCGCTGGGATGTAAACTAGTTAGAACTCTCTTTTTGGGCTCATCCTTCCCTTTCGATAGGGGTTCATGGGTACACGGTAAATTTAAGCATCCTCCTCAGGTGGTTCATTCAATGTTCTTGGTGGCTGACGCATTGTCGTATATAAAGCAGACAATAACTCTTGAGTTTCTACCAGCGGTTGTCGTGAGAATTCCAGCGGATAAAGAAAAGAACGATCATTTGCGCTCCGAAAAATAGATCTCAGAATATTAAGGTGATTTATATTCAATCCTCTACACCTCAGTGATATCTTGCGCCGCCCGTCCCGTCCATTTAACCGTCATTCACCATTTTTTTGCAAGGTGATGCCGTGGTTGATGTGTGATGACGTGGAGCTCGTAAACTGATGTCTGACAGACTTTAAGTTCCACTTGGATGCAGAACTATTCAAAAAGCACATGGGTACTAAGGGAAAATTTAAAAAGGGCTTAAAGCAAAGAAGGCAACTGAAGTTTGTTAATCGCATATCTATATATATTAAGGGCTTTAGGTACGGTAATTCAAAAGGATTTTTTATCGTCTTTAGGAACCAACTTTCTATGGGTTTTCGTAAATGGGGATTTTTAAATTTTGGTTTACAATGTGGTACTGATTAAGATGCAAACGAACTTATAATCGTCAAATTAGTTTTTGCCATGAATTAAAACTGGACAAGATCCATTTTTCAGGAACTCGCAAATATCAAAACATTGTTGTGTGCCACCGTTTCATTATAAAACTAATATTAGAGAACAATGAACCAAAACGCTTCAGACGAACACTCAACTGTTTATTGTCTTTTCTTCATCCAAAGATAGATTCAAAATCAGCGAAACAGAGAGACCAAATCCCTAAAACCTTCATTGCTAGTGCTTTGTTTAAATCTACAGAAATACTGAGCACATTCCAGCTTAGCCTAATTGTTCTTTACACAGTGATCAGTCAACTGAGATGAATAAATTGTCACCTTGAAATTATCTGCTAGAGTGAATCTTGGTCAGACGATAAGAAGCAGTTTCAGTTGTCAGACAAAAGCCTCGTGAACGACCAATCGAAAGCTAGTTCCTCCCGGCTGATGCATTAAAAACAAGTTTGGCTGCGTGTCGCTGTTGCTCTTTAAAATATTCATGACTTATACATCGTTTCTATGAAAATAAGTGGGGTTTCAATAGTATAAAGTTGGAGTGAAAATAACACAATCTGAAATAAGAAAAATGGGATTTATGGTGCGACAGACCTGTGTACCTGCACGAACCCAGACCATGGTCGTGCACTCGGATAACATCCATGACAATTTGATCAGAAATTTCTGTATGATTTATTTTGCGTTTCGATATATTCGGACTCTTTACAGTCATGACCGATCTTCAAGAAAAACACAGATTCCCCTCGTGCGTTGTAGTATTTGGGAAAAATATGCTACAGCAACCAACGTTTACAAATATACGCACCGACTGCAAACACCCATGCACGCGAGGATTACATCCACCAACGACGGCAAAAATTCATGTGCTGGCATTAGTGCACGCTTCAAATCCAGTAGTTAAATCTCGCTTCTCTAAGAGCATAAGCAAGCCAACGGCAGACACAGAGAAGCAAAACCATGTCACCGGATATTACTTCCAGGTTACCACCCATGTGAGCGTAGACTTTTCGATATGCTATTTTTAAATAAAGCGAAACATTTCTCCCTTGGCCTTAAGTAGCATTGCCGTTTTTATTAAAAAAATTAACTTTATACCAAATTAAGGTACGTCAAAAATCAGGATGCACAAGTGGCAATGATAATTTATATCTTATTGTGCAGTAAAGCCTTTGCCCTCATCTTCCCTAAGCAAAAGCGATCTTCGTTCAACATAATTTATTAAAAGAGCATGTTAGGTACTAAACAGTTCAATATTCAAAGCAATCTCATTTTGCAGACTTTCCGTCCTTTCGCATCCATGAGGGTCGTATAAAGTAGACAGTATAAGGCAGATTAACTTCTTGGAACGTAGACAAGAAGGCCGCAGTCACCTGTTTAGGTTAAGAAACATGCTTTTATAATGCAAATTTAACAGGTCGCTTGTATAATTTTATTTGATCCGCATGGAAAAGTGCAACTTTTTTATAAATCCCCTTAAGTTCACGTCACGATCACTTCATTTCCAGCTGCTGGCTTATTTGCGTATTTTTGTTTTTCTGATAAGTTGTTAATGTAAACGGTACCTCCATTGTTCAACTTCTGCAACGATCGTTACATAAGTCTCGATACTTATGTGAGAATAATAATTCTGATGATAATTGTTTTATATAAGAAAACATCTAAAGATTATATTTAGAAGGTGGTTTGACTTTGCATGCATCAAAATTGTCAAAAATTGTCCGATTTGCATATGTTAGTCTACATGCAATTGGCATTTTCACTCACCTTTTCATCTGGCAAGCAAGGTCCTAGGATTCCCAGCAGTAATGGGTCCTCATCAACAGCTTGCATGAAGTCATTTAACGATACCCGTCCATCGCGGTCGAAGTCCTCAGAAAGAACGAAAATATTAGAAACATTTATAAGCTTAAAATTATTCGGCATCCGAGATAAAAATTTCGGTTGTTAGGCAAAATGCAAAATCATAATGCTGTAGCGCATGTGGGATTGGCTATCAAAAACTGTTTAGTATATCAATTAACTGCATAACACACACTGTTTATTGCATAAGACCGGAATAATTTTTGTTTTTCAGGAAATTCAAGCAATCAAATTTTTCCCTTAAGCCGATTAGCACTCGTGTTCTTAATCCCGTCGTGCTAATTAGCTAATTTCCAGCTGGCAAGTGTGAATAGGCAATACCTCACTGTATTCTCTTAATAGCGGGCTACTAATGTTCCGATTTCCAGAACTATTTGATTCATTCAGTCAGTAAGAAGTAGAAGGCAATTATTTGGATCAAATAAACCTTTGTGAATGTAGAAAACTCACCAATCGTTTAAGTGTAATTTCAACCAGATCGCGTACACCCTCATCGGAATCCTCTTCGGTGTTCAGCTGATAGGGGGAGAAATAAGAATACCGAATTTGAGAAAATTTCCATGTGCATACACAAATGCTACACGCATAATACCACTCAAAAATATGACAGGTACTTCCTTTAAGTGAACAGTATGCAGGCTTCTTTGTCGTCATGCAGCCCAGTGGTTAGGAATCTTCTGGCATTCGAAGAAAAAAGTTCCACGAATTATCAAGGTTCCCTTAACTGCTCCGTACTAACTTATTTTGGACTGCTTTTTAAGATAATTTCGAACTGGTAAACGTTCGCTTCTCTTGTTGTCTCGCAAATAAACAGTGAGACAAATACCTGGCTTATAAGAAGCGTGCCTGATCCGTCATATTGTTATTAAAATACTTTCTCTCGGCGTTGTGAGCTCACCTTAGGTAAACCTTGTTTGAGAAACTGGAACATCTCTTCTCTCGATAGTTGGCCGTCAGAATTAATATCGTAAATCGAAAAACAAACTATAGGAAAGTAGCGTAAATATATGGAAGTATTACACGCAGCCCTCTCAGCCAAAGTCCCCCGAAGGAATACTGATAAACCTCTGATCCATTCTTCTTGTGTAATAAAACCATCAAGACGCTTGTTAAATGCTCTAAAAACTGGAAAATGTACGGGGTTTTTGCCAAACTCCTATCGAGAATCATGTCATCCGTCATGTTAAAGGTTTTGTGAAGAAGTGCACGGAAACTGTTCCTGTCCAACTTTTCCGTTTTAGAGTTCTTATTTATTTCAGCAAATATATTGAGTAGCATTTCGCATTCGGACCTGGTGACTGCTGAGAAGTTAACATGTTTAGGGCTTTACACCATGTTTCTTTGGAAAGTTTTTCAGCCAATGTTGACAAATATTTAGCTGCGAATATTTTGGCCATTTTCGTAAATCACAGACGCTGTAACTGCCTCGGAAGTGCTTTCTGAAAAGTTAAAACAAATCTGATGAGTGAAGCACTTCTTTTCAGTGCTGTTAAGTAAGTGCTTTCTGAAAGACTTTTCGCAGTCATGCAGCCCAAATAGGCGACATATTATCCGACAGTAAGCAGTTCTATCGTTTTTTAACAGAATGATACTGTAGGGTAAAAAGGTATCCAGAGTGATATTTAGTGGTATTTAAAAATCTTCGAGTCATAAGTAAGGCACTATAAGATAATATAAAGGTGACATAACTACAAAGTCGCTATCTTGTTGTTTACTTGCGTGATGAATTTAGATTAAACACCTCCTGGAGCTGAATTCTGCTCTACTATTGACAAGCATAAGAAGAGTCTAGTCAAAGTGAGACCTCTGTCCCCAATGTAAGTATATGACGCCTTTCTATGTCGAGAACAGCTCGCAGCTTACAAGGGCTTCCACATGTTTTTTGTCACTCAGTTAAGTCGCGACGGTGTATAATGAACGTAATTTTAAATTTGTTGCAATTTCGCTTGTCCATGAGGATTCCTTATTCTGATAAAAATCTTTATGTAACCAACCCACTTCACTAATAGTTGCTGTTGGCTCAATCACACCTTCCCAATGATTGTTTTTTTGGTTCCCATAGTCTCAGTGAATTTCGTCCTGCATTGCATAATGATGGTGTATATCGAAATTTAAATCGGTCATCAGGAGACAGCTATAGAAGTGTCCTTTCATGTCTCAACAAAAGGCACTATGTTTAGCATCAGTAACGAATTCCAATAGAGGAACGTAGGCAGTATTTATCTTAACTCACAGAACGATTTGTGTAAGTGGCAAAAAACTTCTGACAAGATCTTGCCTTCTTATTTCATGCTCGAGTTCTAAAAACCAATGTATGTTACACGGACGTCCGCGGGAAAGTTGCGAGGATAAAAGCGTTTGTGTGTGAACGTAAGGGATATTTACGGGTGAAGATCTTGAGGATCGGACTGATAAGCGGTTCAGATCACAGATGCACTTACATAAGGCTAGCGCAAATTATAGTCGTTTGCAAGATTTTCGGAAACATTTCATACGAAACTTGCTGTGTGGCAGCATAATTATATTTAATAACAGTTTACAGGCATTGTCAAAAAAAGATACGATCCAGTCTGGGCTGGCCGTTAGAAACTACTGTTGAGAAAGTAAACACCGGTGGTAGTGTTTTTGAACAGCTTACAGGGTTCAGGAGAAAAAACTTTCGTCCGCGTAGTGTTGTCAGCCCAGAAGTGGGATGCTAAATATTCCATCATATGTCTTCAGTCTCTATTTCTTTTCATGGATTTGGGACATGTGCACCAAATAGGGCGCGTGGGTGAACAATTGTTCGCTGTCGGCTGAAGACATCTTCTGTAGTGTTGGGGGCTGCAGTTATCTCAATTTCCACAGGATGGGACTAGGCAAATGGATTAGAAACCGCGAACTCAATCGCCGTGGAAGACCACTTCAGTGGAATCAGCGACCGAAAATTGTGGCAGTTTTTCTGATTCTAAAGAATGTGTGACAGTTCCCTTAAACAAGGAATATTTTTGCGGATTTTTACATTCCTAGTTAACTTATTCCAATATATAAGGGAGAGGGAGAGAGTCTTGAAATTCCTATTTTCAGGCGTAAGCTAAAAATTTACTTGTATGTGTTTACTTAGTTATTTGGCTACATTATATCAGTCCGTGACAAGTTAAACGGTGCTATCAAGACAAGTGTTATGAAATTTTCTTTTAAGTGTCTGAAGGCCTTCAACCAGAACAACCGAATTATGCAGTTTGTTCAATTTTCAGTCCTGCGGTGGCAGAAAAAGTTTATCCGTTATTCAAGTTTTGCGCATTCGTCTTCGATTTGTGTTGGTGGCCGCGAAGATTCTTCGTTTGTGATTATTCAGAAAACCGACCATTAGCAGTCCACATAGCCTTCATCGACTTCCAGAAGGCTTTCGACACAGTGCCACACCAAAGGCTCTTACATAAGCTGAAAAAAATAGGGATCGGTGGCAACTTCCATAAATGGATCGAAAACTTCCTTGTGGGTCGACAGCAGGTTGTGTGCGTCGGTCGGGGAAAATCAGATCCGGCTATGGTCGAGAGTGGTGTCCCCCAGGGTTCAGTACTGGGACCCATTTTGTTCCTTATCTACGTGGACGATGCCGCAAGAGATTTGGACTGTGAAGTAGCAATGTTTGCCGACGACATGAAGATATGGAGTGTAATTCGGGGTCCTGCCGATGAAGACAGACTTCAGATGAACCTGAATTGGTTGGAGGAGTGGTCAAACCGTTGGCTCCTGCGGTTCAACGTTGCCAAATGTAGCATACTTCGCCTAGGGAACACAGCCAGATCCGCCAGCACAAGAGGCTACTTTCTGGGCGGTTCAGCCCTACAAGAGGTCGAAGCCCAAAAGGACCTCGGTGTGCTTACGACGAGTTCCCTAAAACCATCCGCCCACTGTTCGAGGGTGGCAAAACCGCAATGTCCGTACTGTACGCCATCAAGCGTGCGTTTATGGACTTTGACGAAGAAGCCTTCTCTAAGACATTCGGAACATTCGTCCGGCCGCATTTAGAGTACGGCATACAAGCTTGGAGGCCTTGGGGTGTTGTGGATCAAAACTGCCTCGAAAGAGTCCAGAGGAGAGCCACGAAGATGGTCAGGGGTCAAAGCTCCTTTCCTTATGCGACCCGCCTAGTAAATCTGAACCTCTTTCCTTTGAGTTACAGGCAACTTCGCGGAGATCTCTTGCAAGCCTTCCGCATCGTAAAGGGGTTGGATTGCAGTCTGGCCTTCGAGGACTTTTTTGAATTTGCTACCACGACCAACCTCCGAGGTCACCCGTTAAAACTGCGTACTCAGCAGGCACGGCTGGATATGCGGAAGTCCTCCTTCTCGGTTCGGGTGGTCAAACCGTGGAATGAGCTTCCCGCAGATGTTGCGATGTCACCATCTATACAAAGTTTTAAGAAGAATCTGGACATATTTATGTTCCGAAATGACTAAGAGCGATGAGAAGTCGAGCTCACCCCCTGTAACTCCTTCTCATTTTGTCCCACCATTATGGGCGTGCTCGAACTATTTCAGCCCAGAACATCTATCTGTACACCACTCATTTTTTACGTTGCAAATAGGGTACTCAAAGGCTTGCGCATATTTCCCTCAATAAACTGAACTGAACTGAACTGAACATCCCTTGCATATTGCCTACAAAATAGAGAAGACTTTTAGGCCATTCTAATAATCCGTCGTAGGGCAGACACTGCAGTCCACTGACTAGGTCGGTCGCCCTTCGTTAAGCATTCTCGAAAAGAGTAAATTACTGCTTCATTAAAAGGCGGCACGACTGAATGTGTGTATGTATATATATTGAAGGGTTACAGGCAGAGCCCTTGATGCCCCTATTTATGTACAGTGCTTTCGCAGATTCATCCTCAAAAATAAAATAAAATTGCAGGCATTTAAAATTTGATTGGGTCACAGTTCAATCGTAATCATAATGTAGTGCATGGGGTCACTAAAAATTAGTGCGGAAGATTGTATATGACAGATTTTACAAAACTGGCTGTGCATAGTCATGCTGTTCCAGACATTTGACTAGTTGAGGAAAGATCCTCTGAGCGTTCACAGGATGCCCAATAGCCTTTTTGCTATCTTGAGGCAGTGAGACGAAGGTGTGATATTGGGTGTCATTGAAACATCTAAGCCGTCATCATTTCAATCTAATCCAATTTCTTTTAGATAGTAAAAGCATAAAACAGAACTATTTTTTCTCGTTTTTTGCTTTAACTGCCTAAAGGAAGTTGGATTTTTCAAAAAAAGTGATGATTACACTGGGGAAGGAAAAATTGTCTTAAACGCTCCACAAATGTGTATGTGACTATGCGGATTGACGAGGTCCTCAAAAATGGGCTTTTTGCATATACGGAATATATTTTTCCAACATATTCTTGAATATTTTCTCATACTACTTAGGGTATTTGTAATTCCGTGGCACACGATTCCCGATACTTACAATGTTCAGTTTTACTCAACCAATTAGGCACGTAAGGGCGAAGGCGACCCTACAAAATTTCACCCTTGATCAGGATGCGATTGGTTAGATGACGACTTCGCGGTATGTGCAAACCGCAACGTTTGTTTTGTAATCCTGGTATTTTAGCGGCTATTTCGCGTCTCACGTCTAACAAAACTATTGTTAAGACAGAGATAGGGACATATCTGTACATCCGTTTCATAACATTTGGTGCTTAATGTTAGTCCGAAACGCTTACACCCGCCAAGCTGCCGTTTCGTAATTTAGAAGGACTTTTTACGGTCTTGCGGTTTAAAGGTTCGTTTCGGATTCTTAAATGTTGAAGTTGTGTCATCTAATCTACTTTCTGAATTATCTCATAATAGTCAGTTAGTAAGTCGGCCAAAACCGACAAATTAGCGTGTTTTCTGGATTAAATGGCAAGTGCACTTACCGTGAAGTGTTGAATTAATATCCAAAATTTGCTTTTCGCCTTACGTCGGTGTTGTTCCTTGCTTCATAGCACTTCGGGACATTTGTCGATTCCTCCCTCTTCCCGCAACATGCCTATATTGGCGAAAAAGTTGTAGTCTGTCGTCGTCGTCTACATATCTGCGGATTTGAACATGACAAAAGTCAAGAATCTGAACACGACGTTTGAGGTTTGCATTGCACAATTGCTGACTTTGATAGTTGGATGCAGCATCTTTCCCCTCGAGGACTCCCGAGATCGACCGCGTTTGCCAAAAAGGTCAGTTATTTGGCAGTGTGAAATTGAAGTTTTCGACCATAAATAAAGTGGGTGAAGCTACACAACGGCTTGCCTATTTATTAGCAGGCCACTCCCGCGTTCCCATTAGTCAGGCTTTCACCACGGATGTGCGTGGCCGGCCGCAAACATTCTTTGGAGTTCAGAGGTGTTTTGGTAGATTTCAAATAATTCACTTTTCCCAACTGCGAAAAAGGGGTCGATGCCTCAGTGGAATTCGGACCCACGAAAGGAAGGAGAGGTCTAAGTACAGCCAACGCTCTAGCCTCGTAGCTCAGATGGTTAGAGCGTTGGCTGTACTAACGCCTCCCGTTGCTTTCGTGTGTTCGAATCCCACCGAGACACCGAGTTTTTCACAGTTGGGTCAAACTGAATTGTTTGGAGATGTTAGAGGGATGGCACCGAGGAATGAGACCGCTGGGTGATTATCACACTGGAGATGGGGACTACTCGGCCAACCACTGTGATGTTGTCATATGGACAGCATACCATGACACACGCTCGCTTATGACAAGCACTCAGAGTTCAACACCTCCGGTTTTTCCTGTCAATTAACAGACATTCGGCCGTGCAGCGATCTCGTCAGGTATCACAGCCCCTGTGTAACCCTAACTCACCGTCCCTCTTTGATATCGGTTTCGAGTGGAAGGACAATACGTTAGACAAATGCCGCCCTTAATCCAGTGGTCCTTCTTACATCTTTAATTAGTCACTCCCTACAGAACTTGTTAATCGTCAGTGGGATGTTTTAAATATTTTCTTCCAAAGTTTATGCGAAAAATTTACCGAAATACTGCCCGAAATGTATTCGGGAAGATGATTATACAGTAGCTGAAACGCTGAGAATAGTTCAAATTAGAAAGAACCAAAGGACACATTTTTATTTTCCCCCCAAACAGATAATTAAAATCATCTAGGCAGAAACCAGCGCTGATGCTGTACACCACGTGCAACCCGGACTGTATTGATGAAAATGATGTGGAACAAATCTTATCGTCTGGGGTTTTGCAGTCGGAAAGATCTGCCCAGTTGCGGTGGATGGGGAAACTAGTAAACTAGTGAGCAGACTACGGCCTGGATCTACCTTTCTGACACTGATGTAGTCAGTCATCGTGTAAGCTATGCGTCCGCGACTGCCGTTTGCTTTTTCCACCAAAGTCATTGGCTTAGCATAAGTTAGGGGAACACAACCCGCCTTAACCAGGCAATCCTACATGGCTGGCACGGCCGTGCACACGCTACGTTCAATTGAATCTTCAACAAACGAATATACCGTCGGCCCGGGACACAATCCGTCAACGAAGATGGCTCGGACACCTGCCGAGCCGGCGTGAAGAGATGTTCGACAAGGATTTAATTTGTCTGCACCCGACCCTGACTGATGACGACACGAAGGTTGTCACCTGTGCAAATCGGTGAAAACCTACGACGGCTGCGTTCCCGGCGGGGTGGTGGGCGTGCGAATGGTATCGAATGAACTCAGTGTCTACAACTGATCGATGCTACTTCAACGCGATTATCCATTATGTCCTGAGGTCGCATAATGTAGCCGTTTAAATCAGTTATGAGGGTCTTTGTCACCAATTGAATGTTTCGGCCCTGCTGTGCAGGCTTTTAGGAAGACAGCTCGGATAACTTGTGTTTTTGATAAATTCTGGCCGCCTGGGTAGAATTCGCACACTGGGGAGTGTTTCTTTCGTTCGGATTGCGAACCCTTCAGGTGTGGGAGGAGATGCGGGATTAACTGCAGGCAGCAATCGATCGCTAATTAGATTTGGTACTACGGCTAGTTGAAATTTGACGTACGTTGTCCTTCGCGTGCAGAAGTCACAGCTGACCTGAGTTTTGCCCTGCCACAGTACGCAACTCTGTAGTTTACCAATTAGGCCGCATCGGTGTCCACTCAATGCCTATGTTTATTACATGGGTCTGGATAAGCCTATGGACCGTCTTTCTTCTACGTTTCCCCAGCCACATTGGCACGTGGCTAGCTCGGAGAATGCAATCTGTTCCACAGAAACGGGTAAGGGAGTTAATACGCACCGCCAGTGTCGTCTGAACCAGCAACTTAATTTCTTGGAGCTGGACTGCTCAATCGGGAACGGACTCTTGTTCCTGGGGTGCTGAAGTGTGCGAACTCTCCTGAACCCTGGTACCCAGATTCTGACAGCACACAGTCCTCTTCAGCACAACATGAATGTCTGCTACCTGTCAATTTCCGAGACCCCAACTCAGGCGCCCGAGAGATAAAGACCTCATCTTCCAACTCCCATTTCACCCTGCATCGCAGTGACCCACGCGAATGTTCTGCTAGATTCGGTGCGACGATCGCCGCCTTGCTACAAGCGAACCGTACAGTGCTTGCATGGAAACCACTCAGTAAGTAGATGCCTTACATGCGAGGTAAGGGTCATTTTACAAGCAACTCCCTCGTTTCCACGTGCGCACCAACATCTGCTGCCGACCGGCGCGACAAAGAAACTTTTCCTGCAGCAGCAAGAGTTAGTTAAAAAACGTCCTCATCGTGGTCTGTCGATTGTTGCTGGGGATTGGGGTGGCCGGACTGCACTCGGTGACTCTGTAAATAGTTGATTTATTCACGAATGAAAGCGAATATGCGAGTCTCAGGTTCTCGTTGCAAAGAAGATGAGCGCGTAATCACTAGGACAGCACATGTATTAGCCTTAGCTTTCGGTCTCGTACAGGAGGCCATCATCAGAGACTGTGAGAACTCAACACCAAACAGACACGTTTGTATGCCCCCTGCTACCAGGCGTATCGTTCTCGCGACTGAGATGCGCGACCCACTTTCCCACCAAGGACACACGCTGCCACGACGTCGTGAGACGGCGCGGACCCGGCCTTAACGTGAACATTACCTCCATCCCAACCTCCTTCCCCTTTGTTTGACTACAAAAACTGCTCATTTTATGTTGCGTTTTCAGTCTCGGAAGATGGCCTCCTGTACTAGACCGAAAGATCAGGCTTATACATTTGCGGTCTCAGTGATCGCACGTTTATCTTATTTGCAGTCGCCTTGTTGACCACCTTGGGCCTAGATTTCGACGTGGCAATGATAAACTTTGTTGAATGTTTGTCTCCAACACATTCTTTCAGCATCGCCACAAACATTCACTGACTTGGCATTCAAACGACGGCCGTATAACCAATCAGTTCGACTACATTCCAGTTTGTTCACAGTTACGCAGCTGGATTCATGATAGCAGATCGACGCATGGTGTCGAAACTGGTAACGTCCATGGGTCGGACCATGTTCTCGTTCGCGCTTGCCTGAAGGTCCACCCCACATCCGTATCCAAAATATAGTATACAATATGCAACCTTATCGCTGGTAACTCGGCCAAGGTCATTCGCTATAGTGGGAACGCTCAGCACTTTCCCAACTTCGATTATCAACCCATCACGCCCTCGCTCTCCCCTGCAGCGGTGTCCTATCCCTCTACAGCCTATGCCGTGTTATGCAACTCCCTTGTGAGGGAGGAATTGCCGATGCAATGCAGAGACTGCACAACTGGGCTCTCATTGAAATCTACTGATCATCTGTTGGCACTGGCGTCCCCGCTCCATGAGGATGTTGAGCAAGCGCGGAAAGATGAGGTCGCTTCGGATGGCTGGGCCTCGGGCGTCCTTGTGCCTGCGTTTAAGAAGGGAGATTGGGCTAGGTGTTAAAAATACTGCGACATAGTCCTCACCAACATTGCTGCGAAGGTCTTCACCGATGTCCTCTGGCGACTCCAACGTTTGCGTAGCTCGAGGATGAGACCCGACCAAGCCGGGTTCGGGGCTGGACGTGGATGCGCGGACCAAATATTCACATTGCAGCTTATTCTTGAATTCCGCCATGGCTGTTAGCAACCGACGATCGTCTGCATTGTTAACTTCGCCGTTGCATTTGATTTCGTCTGTCATGAGTCCCGGTGACGGAAAATAGTACTAGATAGTATGCCAACAAAAAATCATCGTTATGATAAAGGCGTAGTCGTCCCATCACTGCGAAATTTCTGATCCACAAGAGTCTGTCCCAACCGTTTGATATTCGATTTGGGGTTCGACAAGGTTGTATTCTGTCACTCATTCTGTTCAAATACGCCATTGACGAGATTATCTGGAGGGCCTACAGGTTTTGAATGTGTGTAGTTCGCACACGAACACTGACTGGCTGATTTCGACTACGCGATGGGGGGACCGACTTCAAAAAACTAGCTTTACACAGTTCGCCAGGGTATGGAAGTGGTTCTTGGGCTTAAGGTCTCGGTTGCTGGAGAAAAGAATTGGTCGAATTGTCAAGATCCGCTCCCGCGGATCGCCACGCATGGACAGGTACAGTCCGATACATCACCGAAGTCAGCTAGGTCAGACGTGTACTCACATCTCTTGTGAGCACAGGACTGGCCAGTCCAGACGTATGCTTAACGCCTCTTTCGTCAAGGAGTACACGATCAGTCCGCCAGCACCCATTTCACAGTTTGGAAAGTCTTTTAGTGCTCTCTTAATAATCGATCCGAACTGGATCTGGTTGCTCTGTGTGACAAAATTCGATGGAATTAATTCTTAGCCAGAATGACCGGAAGCCTTCTTTATGACTAATTCTATCACCAGCCCGATCGTGTAGCTCCACACGAGAAAGTAGGAGAGTAAGTAGCCACGAAGGAGAGTTCAGGAAGCAGTATGTACTTACCTTCTTGATAAAGAATGGGCGGCCTGTTAAAGCCACTCAGGGCTTAGCAGCGGACCCGTGAATTTGAGAAAGCGCTATATTTTGTGGCGATACCAGGCCTCAGTAAAATATGTTTTCATTTATTCCGCAAAAGCTAAACGTGATGTACAAATGCCTCCTGCCGCTCGGAACCGCGCCAGATGGACAGATGTTCGCACACCGACACGGCAGATCGCGTCCCAGGCCCCTTCTGAGCAGCCAGCTCATCCGACTCGTAAGCATTTCGTGCATTTGACTTCTTCAAGATTTATTTGTTCACTTAGCGCGTTTTTCCTACAGTGAGTGAAATGTTGGCTGAAATTCTGAAATGCGTTTTCGATTAGGAAGGATTACTTGGTCGCGGCTGTAATATTGACTACCTTGCGGCATACTCTTATAACATTTCGGACTCGGCAGGATGTCGGCTTTTAAATGCACTTCTTTTCAATCTCTTATAGAAAGCGTACTCGGTAAAAAAATGACTACTTAAGTGGCATGCATTTTTCCCATTTATTTTCGATGGTCTTGCAAATTCAAAGATATTTTATAGAACCCATAAATAAAAATATACTTTCTTTTAGTCAATCAATAGAGAATCACGTCTTCCTTATATTTTATACTCAAGGAAGGAGCATAATTAGGTTTTAAAAAAGTTTTCCAATTGTTGAATAATTTGGCGCCTGATCATTCGTTGCATTAGCGCTTAGTAATTTCAGTCTGCAGGGTGCATGCGTTCCGCGTAAAGAAAATCACATATTTTTCTATGTCATTAAAGAGATATCATACAGAGTCCATGAAGTTTTGCAATGGATGCGGACCATGTTGTTCATTTCATGAGGAACAGTGGTAAACGGCCAGGTACGATGCTATGTGAATTGACATTTCGCGTTCTTAAAAAGTCTCATAATTAGAAACTTTTTTAAACCTAATTATACTCCTTCCTTAAGTATAAACTATAAAGAAGACGTGATTATCTATTAATGGACTGAAAGAAAGCATATTTTTATTTATGGTTTCTATAAAATATATTTGAATTTGTAAGACCATCGAAAATCAATGGGAAAAATGCATGCTACTTAAGTAGTCATTTTTTGCCGAGTACGCTTTCTATAGGAGATTGAAAAGAAGTGCATTTAAAAGCCGACATCCTGCCAAGTCCGAAATGTTATAAGAGTATGCCACAAGATAGTCAGTATTACAACCGCGACCAAGTAATCCTTCCTAATCGAAAACGCATTTCAGAATTTCAGCCAACATTTCATGAGATAGGTCACTCACTGTACTTGTTACAATACCACTCAAGTCGCCTCGAGGTTATTCAGACTCGGCGTACTCACGACGCCCTACTGAGAGCCAAAGTTTTAGTTGCCCTGTTTGGCTCTCGGTTGTTAACGAGATGTGCTCTCGTATTTGGCCGGTCACTGAAGTCATTGTTTCATAAGGGAAAACACTGCAGCAGGAAAAATCGGCCCAACTTTCCGCAAACAGCAGCGCTGGACGGTGGACAGGAAAAGGACTATGAGGAACGGAGACTTTCTGGGCCATTCTGTGCGATCCCTTCAGCTGGGCGCCTTCAAACATTTTAGTTTTTTTGAAAAAAAGAATTCGACGGTGAGCCCGGCTTCCTGTTCCACATCACACACTGCGTTATAGGCTGCCCCTGGAACAGGCACGCCGGGCCTGCGGTAGTTCATGCCCCCTTTCATAAAAAGCCTGCTTACTGTTGTATCTAACAGCAACACCTGACCCGCCTCAATGAAGCCTACTACGCTCTACAGTCTTGCATGTCCCTTCACTGCCTCGCAGTAGCTGCTTATTACCAAAGACCTGGACCACTGTCATTTAATACACAGGCATTGGTCGCTGACCTGAGAGGGTAGAACTCGAAGTTGCAAATGGGAACCCCCTACCTGACCTAAACGGTAATTTGAACGAAGTCTACTTCAGTAAATGGCCGCATATCGGGCTGAGATTAGACCCCCCAGCGGCGTGTTTCTTAACTGTCCACCGGGTTTCATTGGGCTCCCGCGTCCTTTACCTCCCTACCAAGTACCCCATGTCTACAAATTGGCGTAAGCCAGCGCTCATTCCTAGGGCTGTGGACCAGAGCAACGCGAAATGGTCGGAAGCCGACTATCAGTCCACTAACGGGGGGAAATGACCGTCTCCCCATATTTGGCGCTGGAACTTTGCTTGAGTAGGGCAGTTGGCCACGCGTAGAGGACGTGAGCGAACAGGGACAGTGTGGGTAAACCAAGTGGCACCACTGACGGACGGGGTAACTCGGTCCCCTCCCCCACCGACGGAGAGTCAGGCAGCAATAGCTCCTTTCTAGTGGGCCTCTGTAGAACTCCCACTCTGTTGGGGTTTGGGCCGCGCCTTCGCTTTGGTGAAAGCCTAGTCCAATATGCGTGGACCAGGGGCGTGTGTGGCACGCGTAGATGAGACATTTAGCCTCATTGGTCACCGCATCCGATCCTGTCTCCAACCCTCTTAACTTTATCATGACACCGGATCCAGGCTGATGCTGCACAAGTCTACTGCACAAGTCACCGCCACTGCGTCCATCTTGTTGTGGGGCACACGGTGGATATCGCTGATTGCGACGTTTGGGTTTTTAACTAACACTGGCGGTTGAATTGTGGCACTTGGCTACTCGGATGCGGACGGGCAAACAGTGATCCGACTTTTTTCACTGATTTTCGATACCGTTACAAGTTTAAATATATCTTATATGAAACACGCGCACTTTGTAGGAGATTGTGCCTTCTCGAAGAAGGGGTATCCTTTGGTTCTCAAAACACTTTGTCGTTATGCAACATTTTAGGACCTTGAAGTGTCTATACCGGCTAAGCGTTGATGGTTTACGCTCAGCACGCCACAACTTCAGGCCATATCCCAAGGTGTTAGAAGCAGGACGCCATTTGGTTAGGACACTTTATTCTGTTCAGAATAGTGAAGGGGAAAGTTGGCAACCGGATGAGGATGCTTCCGGCGCCGCGGAGGCGGCGTCGGGGAGAGCGATGAGCCCTGTGTCGCCGAAGGTCGCCGCTGCAAAAGTGTCGCTGCAGATTGTTTACTCTATTGTTCTGGACTGTTCCCGCCTGTCTTACCAATCAGCGATAGGAGTTGCGTTGGTTGGCTCCGAGCCCACGCGAAGGTAGTGACAAGCCTCGCGTGGTGCAGGCGGAGAATCGACCGGGCAGACGTGCGTGCCATAGCAGGCTGTCGCTAGGACGTAGGTGCAGGCACTAGCGAGAGGCGCGACGCAGCCATTATGGCTGTCCACTACATGTCCATGTCTAATATCACCGACTACGCGCACCTGCAGGTCACGCCAGTCGGTCGACTGAAAAAGGTCGCTAACGTAGAATAAGCTCTACGGTGCGGTCTCATAGGTCGAAAACTGCGGTAGACTGTCGGGGACAGCGGGCGCTCGACGGGGAAGGGATAATACCAACAGTCTTGAGGCCGGGCTATAATTTGATTGAGTTCGAATGTGTCTTGGTTCTTTGTGCCCTTTTACCAGGATAATTTGACCAGCCGCTTGGTCAGAACATGTTTTGCTAGATGTGGTCCTTTGTATATGCGTACCTCCTGAGCGCCCGTGTTTATTCCGTCCACAAAGTTGTTAGTTTATCACGATTCTTACTTAATAACACGCAAGTAGCTGTTATTTTGTTCTTTAATTTCATTTTAGCTCCGGTAAATTGTCTCCATCGCCTGTCGTCTGCATCCACACCCCAGAGCAACGATGCTCAAAAACCCAGCGCGTTTCTGCGCCGGAAGGCCTATGACGCAGCACGTAGGCTATCGATAGCTGCGTCCAGTCCACTTTCGACGCCACAGGGAAGGGCTGTTGCACGCATGCCGGCCTCGCCATCGTCGAGGCCTGTCTTCAAAAGCGTTAGACGCCTGCCGGGACAAGACGGAACCCCTAACGCAGCTGAACGTCGTCTTCGGGACTCGAAGGCCCAGCAACAGCGTCGCCGAGCCACTCGTTCCGCAGCCATTGATCGACGACGTGGCCTTCCCATGAAGCCTGATGTTTAGGCCTTCTGGCTCTTCTCGGTCAGATTTTATTACTTGACTGGGGTGCCATCGTCACTGCTATGTCCCCCTTTCACTCCTACATCTTTTTTATTACTTTTTTCCCAGATTGCGCCCGTACTACTTTTTGATCTGTGTACAGTAAACGCCCCGAAGAGTTTGTTTTTGCGCAAGCGATAAGTTTTTTTGTACCTGTAGGTTTTGCCGTTTTCCGTCGATGAAGAACCACCCTCAATTTTGCGGCTTGAAGGTACGTTCCTTCTGGTGAACGCTTAATAGGAAAGGGTGTGGCGGTCAAGGATGTGAGATCGACTTAAACCACGCACAATAAGTTCGTTTCGTCTACTGTTAGAAATCAGGGAGCTGTGAGGACTAGTTTATTCTATACACAGGGCAGGTTGCCGTAAGTTGGCTGTTTGCTTGCAACAGAGAAAAGCGTCCGTTCACGGAGAGCGTCAGTCACGGTGTGTGTTGTTTACGCGGGTGTGAGTGTCTAGGTCAGCAGGAGGGGGTGACTGTCTGAGTGGTGGTCGTGTGATTGGACAAATTAGAGGACGAATGGAGGGCGCATACTCACAAGGCCTCACGGGAATCAAGCCAAAGCGTTCGACGCGCGTTAGGCGATACTAGTTTTTGAGTGCAGCCGGGGTTCACTGCAGCTGGACCGGAGGTGTCCCAGTTCTAGCCGGCGGGGGTGGTCGTGCGTCAGCGGCCTGTCAGTGCTTATCGCGGTCATCGACCGACAAAAGGGAGCCGGAGAAAAGGGGGACTGGAGCAGCTGCTACAAGGGCAGTTAATTTTCAGGGAGGTTGGTTTATATTAATATCACCCCACCCACTTACTCTCAAAAGAACTCTTCAGAGGTGCCAAGTAAAGCTGCGTTAGGCCTCTTTTTCTGACTTTCTGTTGATCCTTGCGGCGATGGCGGCGGCTAATGACTTCATCGACCGGCAGATAAGTCAGCAGCTCCAAATTTCGGAGTAAATTGTTGTGACAGGGCACACAGTTACCACTAGAGGGCGAGTTAGTACAGAGTTGCTCATGCTGGAAGATGCGTCCCGTACGCTGTCGTACACGGCTCCCAGCGTGGCCACTGAGTTCTTTTTGAAAGGACCTTAGTAATTGGGCAAACCGAAGCCAGGATAATGATCCGGCAGGTGGGTGAGGTTTGACAGTCCATAGTGCGCCTGTGCTTAGGCGCCAACGGCTACCCGAGTACCTTTTCCCAACCGGCGGTATAGTTATCCTCAGGAGGTGCTACTGCCGAAGACAGGTGGCACTGAAGTGCTTATTTCTGGCGTGCCATCATCGATCAGCTGGTTCGACAAGTCTGGACGAGGTGTCTGAGGGACGTTTGTACACATGTCCGTACCCTTCTTGAAATGGACCTTACAGGAGGATGCGAGGAGCCAGACTGGCTCTCGGCGAAGTGGAGAGTCAGCGCAAGCCCATACCTGCTACCGCATATTAGGGGGGGGGGGGTGGTAGTGGCTCTACGCTGCGCCAATCACTGCACCAGATGACCGTCACGCTCGGACAGTGGACTGGTGCGCGGAAAGAGAGTGAGGTCAACTCGGGGGAATCCCTCCTCACGGCACTTAAACGCATTCCTCACTAGTAAATCTGTCACGGTGCACAATAAATCCGGACCCAAGATTGCCTACTGACAGGGTAACCTGACCCTCTCAGGACCGAGAGTCAGGGTCAGTCCCTGTGCCATGCCCACGAACATTAGATCCAGGCCACGCGCTCTTCGTAAAGACCTGCCCGTGGAACCAGGTCGTGTGTGGCACGCGTAGACGGACTGTTTCGGCATATGGGTCGCCGAGCCTAAGCTCACGTCCCTGTCGTCCTGACTAGGTGGGTGAGAAAGAAAAGAGTGAGGTGAATGCTGCTCAGGTCTGTCTTGCTGCAAACTAATTCGCAGGCATGTCGTCTGCGCTGCGCCCACTACTCCGTGGGGCGTACAATGAACATCGTCGATCTCAATGGTCGGGCTGTAACATCTGTGGAGTGCAAAGGGTGGGATAAGGAGTCTGCCAGATTGTCTGCTCGAGATGACCTTCACCACGTCTGACACCCAGCTGTCATCTGTAACTATGACACTGCTGCCAAAGCCACGACCACACCGGAAACCACTTCGACTGATGGTGCAAGCCAGATGAGAGTGTTACGGAGTGCAAGCGGCGTGGAGCAACGGCCTAAGGCGCTGAACAGGGGACCAAGCCGGCGGCGTGAGACACGCGTGAAGCTGGACGGTCGACCGGCGTGCACTGCAGAGCCGAGCATGTGTGGTGGCTGTGCTCATGTGTGCGACCCAATCAATGGTGGGGGAGGGCAATCGCGCACGCGGTGGCCAATCAGCGACCAGCACGCCCGGGGCAGGAACATCCCAGAACGCCCTCAATGGCTGGCACGTCATTGGACGGAATGTTCCAGAACGCACAGGAGCCAATTTAAATGGCTCATCCTTCTGACGAGTTGTAACCCCTCGTATCCGCAAGTTACCAATAAAGTGCTTGTCCTCCGAGCCGGTTCTCTTCCTGTTCCACCTTCCTTTCGGGTCATAACAGAGGGCAGACGGCGTGTGTCCCCCTGTTCGGTGCTCCGTTTCGGCCTGCAGTAGGGAACCAAAGAGTGTCATCGCACGCAAAGGCTGATTTATATGTATGGGCATTCGCTGTACCCTCTTTCATCCCAGCTGGCATTGCCGTAATTTCGGAGGCGAATCACGATGGGATTGGGGATTAGGGCTCCTGCCGAGGGTGCGATATGCGGTAGCCAAGCCGAGTTGAGGGTCATAGGTCCATTTGGCAGCCACTCGGGTGTTCAAGGCATATTTAAAGAAGCGCTGCCAAACCAGCTAAAAGAAGAGGCTTCAGTGAATGCTGGCGCCGACTAACCAATGAAGACAAATATTGATCGGCGTCGGCCAGTCGAAGGGTTAGTCACAAACACATGCAAGGCGTGGTTGACAGGCATGCTAAGCAGGCTGGCATGGGGAAGTAACCGCGTCCTGTAGAGGGTTCCGGAGGAATTTGGTTGTCAAATGCTGCTACCGATAGAGACTTAGACAGAGTGGAGTGGTCACTGATAGCTTGCCAGCCTGGTTGCTGACGCACCCACGGCCTGAACCAAGGTCTGGTTGGTCGTTGTAAACTTTAAGCCAAGCGATCTTACCGCCTGGCTACCAGGCTCGGACTGTGTCGGCTGGAGCCAGGGAAGTATGTAGTGTCGCATATGGAGGTATAGTGACGCCACGCCGGGTGCCTGCTGTAACAGTGCACCTCTGGCGAATACTGGCACGTATGCCCCAGGGACAGTTGTTTGTTTTACTTTCTGCTGCACCTATCACGTCTGAACACTTCATGAAACCGAGCAGCTCTGTCTGGTTTTCGACCAATCACATCTACCCGAACCGGCCAATGAACTTCAAGGCTGACGCATTCATGCCCTCACGCAGGACACCCAGACGCCTGCTCAGGCGACGCCGGAAGTGCGCCTCTCATCCGGGTGTCAACGGGTTCCAACCTATTATCCACTCATTCTGTACATTATAAAGTCAGTTGTCTAGTTCCCTTTAACCCCGTCCCTTCCTACTCGGGATCCGGCCTAAAGGTCGTAGTGTTTAGGCCCTGTCCATGGCTTTAGCTGCCGAGACAAGCGGTGGGTGGTTTTCACCGACCCTCACTGCAAGACGAGAAAATGGGAATTTTCGTCTTGCCGTGGAGCTGTTCCGAGGGGGTGAGCGCAAGTGGTACCAGCTGGAAAATAGGTGCCTTTGGGTCATTAGCGGCGCAATAAGAGAGCGTTTATGCTGCCCACTTTCTAGCATCGATACCGCCTGGATGATTATGCGCAGCACACGTCACCTGTCACAATGACGCATTTTTCGCTGTCCGCCGGCCAAAGTGGCAAAAAGAAAACGGATTTATAGCGAGAGACTGAGTGCTCCGTCAATTTTGATCGTAAAGTATCGCTATACTTTTCGATGAATCGTGTTGGATATCCCCGTTTAAGCAGGGCTGTTTTGAGGCAAGGAATTTCATCATCCAGCGCTTCAATAGAGCAAATGTTTCTTGCTTTTTGGAATAGAGTGTAAACCAAATTTGGCTTTCGTTGTATCGGCACAAAGCCCAAGAAGTACAGGTATTGGCCTTCCCATGTATCCTTGTGGAAAACAGATCGCCTTATTGAACCATCTTCCTGTCTAGTCGTGAGGGCATCCAGGAAAGAAAACTTGTTGCACTGCTCCTTTTCCATTGTGAATTTAATCTTAGGACGGAGACTGCTCATGGCAACAAGTAGGTCTTCGGTTTCATCGTCGTTGTCAACAACAGCAAACATGTCGTTTATATATCTTTTATACAGTGTTTTCATATTAAATTTTGCTGACAACTTTTCTTCTAAGTGACCCATAAAAATGTCGGCAAGGGTTGGACCAAGTGGACTTCCCATTGCCACTCTATCAATCTGTCTGTATAGCTGTCCATTGAACAGAAATTGAAATTGAAATTTACTGGTTCCAATAAATTCTGCTGTATATGCCTGCTTTAAATTCATTCCAGGAAGAGTGCGTATGTCAAATTCACCATGCCGGAGGAACCAGCCGGAAGTGCCCTCAGGGGAACAGTGAAGGTGCTGTTTATCTGTCCTGAGCCTTTTTCCCAACAGGCCTTTCGAATGTTTTAAAATAGAAAAGAGGGTAAATGAGGGCTGTTACGGCCTGACAAGTAGGCTTAACAATACGTACCAACAGGCTGTTCTAAAACAAGCAACACCCACCCCCAGGTCAAGGCCATATTGTCCGTCAAATCGCCAACTCTGCCGAAGGACACGATACTTGTCTAACCTCCACCCGGACGGTGACCTGACGGTTCGTAAAATGGCAGAAGAATGGTTCCAAAGAAGGAGACACGATCGGTGGGACAAGAGCTTTATTCGCCTGACGTTTCGAATTCCTGCTCGAACTGATCATTAGAGAAAAAGCAGATACGGGTGGTTCATGCACGAGGGGCTGCAGTATTTATAGGATGCAGTCGTCATGCTACCGCAAACCTATGAGTATTCAAGCCTCTCCCCCTTCATCAGGGATCGTTGCACTTGGTGTGATGACTGTTCGATGGCCGACATTCGAGTCGATAACTGCTGCAATTTCATTACGTGTGTCGGATATTGGTGTGATGACTGCTCGACAATCTGACCCACCGACCCTGCCGTTGGAAACAGTGTTTACCTGTGCGGAGTCTCAGCACTGCGTATGGGATGGAAAGGTCGTTGCAGTTGTTAGTAGACTGGGGGACAGTGAACTATGACTCATCCAGCTCCCGGCTCACGCCGTCTTCAACTCTAGCGAGAATTTCGACATCGTTGAATTTGAACGTGTGGTCAGATCTCGTCGAATGAGCCGCAACTCGAGAGCTGGCGTCATTTATCGGCGCTGCTGCGGCGTGTTCGGCCATTCGATTCCGGAGCTGTCTTCCAGTTTCTCCGACGTAGTTCCTTTGTCCGCAACTGCACCAGATCCGATAAACGACTCCAGACGTTTCTTGTCATGGCAGTGGGTCTCGGTTTCATTACCTGACGCCTGATGGTTGCCGCCGGTCTGTGTGCGACCCCAACCCCGAGTGGTGTGCGGAGGCGGCTGACAGCTTCCGAAACGTTCTTGACATACGGAGACGCTCGCCAAAATGTGGAGTCCGTGCGTCTTGGCCTTTCGTCTTTCGTGCGTGTACCGGTTGACGTAGTTTCGCGGATAGCCATTGGCTTTGAAGACCCGTCGGAGGTATTGTAGTTCAGCAGTCTTGTCTTCCGGCCCACTGCAGTGCGTTTCGACACTCTGACAGGGCGTCCTTACACAACTGCGTTTGTGGCTGATTGGGTGGTTGCTGTTGAAGTTCAGTACTTGCATCGTATTTGTCGCTTTCCTGAACAGTTTGGTCTTTAATTCACCACAATCTGTGCGGCATACGAGGACATCCAGGAAGGCCAGCTGGTTGTTGTCCTCCTCCTCCATCGTAAATTGTACTTCCGGGAAGACCACATTCAGACGTTCCCTGAATGTCAGCAGTTGATCCCGGTCGATAACGACGAAGGTATCATGAAGGGGGAGAGCCGTGAATATTCATAGGTATGCGGTAGCATGGCGATTGCATCCCATGAGTACCGCAGCCCCTTGCGCATGAACCAACCGTATCTGCTTTTGTCTCTGATGGTGAGTTCGAACAGGAATCCGAAACGTCAGGCGAATAAAGCTCTTGTCTCAGCGATTGTGTCTCCTTCTTCACGACTGCCTTCTGGGACTCGTCTTTTCGCTTCTGTTGGCAGGGGCAGACCATGACCATTGCCAAACAGTTCGACGGCTTTTCGTACCTTGACCTTCGAGGATGAATCGTAGACCCAACGTCTCCAGACGTCTGACGGACGCCGTTGGATGGCTGATCCGTACTTTGCGTCGATAATCAACCAACTCGCCTGGCTTTCTGCGCTCTGTTTTATCACAACACGTCCCAACCCTCGGTCTAAAGGTGCTTACTACCTACTCTCTACAGAAACTCCACACCATGATATAAATGTTCGGAGAGCGTTGAAAGTTAAATAAAAGATTACACCAATTGATATGGTCTATTAAGTCTTTTCTTCCTTCACACTAGCCCTGTTCACTTTTTTGTCTAAGAAACTAATGATTAGAAGTTACCCACGAGGACGTATTTTGAAAGCTAGTCTTGTATGCTCAACTACCGAAGTCCTCACTCCCTCCCCCCTCTCTCTCTCACGCACACAACCAAGGTTCCGAAAGATAAACAGCAACGTTCTCGGAACTTGTGTGCATGTAGGGCATATCTGCCCGATAAGGAAGGCCGTTCTTTATTAAAACTTAAGGGAAAACTACTGACGGGAATGTCAACTTATCATCCACAGTGTGCAGAAGAGTTGTTTTAGTGAAATAAAGCCCGCGTATCCGTTGCAGAATACTGTAATTACATCAGCTCTGGGGTGCTTAGTTTTCCATATTGTCGCGGCAGAAGAAGCACTTACCCAAACCGTTCGGGAACAGGAATGCGGACATCTGTACTACGGGTGGCCAGAATTTAGGACAAGGTCAGCTCCAACTAAGGGGGGACACCCATATGTCCCTGCCCAACCCGCCAAACCAAGAGTGTTGTAAGAACGCATGGACTGGGAACACTGATAAAAAGATGGCGTTCACTTGGGCTGGTTGGGCTCGAGAGAGAGAGCCCGTAAGGCACAACGGAACGAGTGAGCTCCGTAAGAACGATCGGTGAGCGCCCCCTCTACCACGGACATAACTGTTTGCGATCCCCCCGTCTGCCGCAGCACTGCGTCCCTGTCTGGCGCTTGCCTGCTCGTGTGCACCAGCGACAATTGTTCGTCCGGCTTTGTTGAATTCGCATGGTGGTCGCATAGCGTCTGGCCAATCCCCGAAACCGTGAGATCTTGTCTGCTGTTCGACGAATCACAGCCATCCAAATCGGCTAATCAGCTTTAAGGCTGGCCCGGACAAGCCCTCACTCGGACGCCTGTATCGGTAGCGCCGGACGTGCGAGTCTTGTCCGGCGCAAAACCTTCTTCGACTCATCAGTCATCCATCCTGTGCAGAAAACAGTACCCTCCCTAATGGCGTCTAAGTTCAGCTCTTCCTACTCGAAGTCTGACCTAGTGGGGGAGGGGTTCGGTCATGGCTTTGGCTTCCGCGTCAACGCTCTTACAGGTGCTTGCAGACATGACTGACAGAAGCAACGCTTCCTCAGTATCAAACAGGAAACTCCTAGAAACTCTCACATCGCACCAATGGGCAGGGAAAACTGACGCAAAAAAGGGTATAGGCACCCTCACAATCAATCCGATTAGACGGAATCCGCGCTTGGGCGCAGCGGCTGACCCGGCAGCAAGTAGTCGCTAACGTGATTCACGTCATTTCACATTTCTCTCCCATGCCTTAACAGGGCTGCATTCACATAGATTCACCAGCACACTGGCTACACTCGTCCAATGCCGCTCACTGGTCGATGCGACTACTGGAATGCGGCCACTGCGATATGCACAGCTGCGTAAAGCCAAGAGCTAGCGCTGAGCACCACTGAAATGAGCCATCCTGAAATTCAGTGCGCCCAAAACATGTATAAGCAATACGAGCGTTGAGCGTACAAGCCTGCGGCCTCTGACAGTTATGTCACGTATGCCGTGGTGGCTTATGTGCGGGGGAAATATGCGCAAACTGTGTGCGTCGAGGACAGCCAATCGCAGGCGTCCATCAGTCCTGTTATCCCCGAATCAACTCACCCAGCTGGCAGTGACTAGTCCTCACAGGGCATTTAATCATTCAGGTCTACATCAGCGTAGCTGCCAGACGCACGCGCATGTGCAGAGCTGGCTGCGCGTCCGCCGAGATGCTCCTGCCGGCGTCTTTCCCTTTCTCCCCCAAAACGAGACTTCATCCGACTGGTGCACCTGCTACAAACCCCCCATACACACCCAACCATGTGCTGTTAATGTCTTCCAGCCGACTTTTTTTAAAGCCCTTCCGCAAACAAAAGTCAATTGCCTGGTCGGTGAAGCCTTTACTAATCAGAGCTTTTTCTTGCCAATGCCTCGTCTTCTGACTACTAGCTGCAGCGCAAACTGGTATGCCCTTCAAGCATACGTAACTGCTGCATCTGAACTGCAGTCAGATGGGAGGGCTTCTTCCAAAAAGCGTCTTGTCATCGCCTCAGGACGGACAAGCTGGCCCCGGTGGTGCAGAGAAAAGGTCTGATGAAGGTCATTCAAGGGCTCATGAATTGGGAATACTATGTCACTGTCCGAGCAGTAGGTTAGGATTCCCTCAATGCTCACAGGTTCCTCGGTCCGCAGCGTCTTGATGACCTCTGGGTAGGTTTTCGTCTAAAATAAGTTAATAGGCAACATTAGCTTTCTGAAAAGGCTTCTTCCGACTCAAAGCCCAGTGGTGTGTGCATACAGAGTTTCATCTGATGTAAGAAAAGGGGTAAGATGAGTAGCTGCACGTCTCTGCCTCTAGATGATTATTTTAGCTGTGTTTTGTGACGGCAAGACAAACACCTAACGCTGCAGTAGGCGGCGTAACTCATGAAATGTCAACCGGAATTCCGAACTGTGTTTTCGTTTCGAAAAAATCAAATATGTAAGGTTGCAAAACTAATCATCGTGCAGCATAATTCTATAGTAATTCAGTTACCTCAGGATGCCAACTTTCGAATGAACTCCGTTCCGGCTCCATAAAAAACTATACTCTGTAAAAAATTGCAGCATCAATAGCGTACATTTTTTGTCATTGATTTTCAATGCCCTTGAGAATCAAATTATATTTTATGGAAAAAAAGTATAAACATATTCATTCCCTTACTCATTCGGTAGAAAATGGCGTCCTCTTCCAATTTTATACTCGAAGGAAGGGAATAATTCGGTTTTCAAAAACTTTTCCGACTTCCAAATAATTTTGAACCCAAACTGTCGTTACTCATGCACCTAGGGTTTTCAACCTACAAGCCATGTATTTTCCGCGTTCGGAAAACCATACCTTTCTCTACGGTATTAAGAGGAGACCATATGGGGTTCATAAAATTTGGCAGTGGATTTGGGCCATATTGTTAACTTTGCAAGCCACATTGGTAAATGCAGAGACATGTCGTTTTCACCGTATTGAAAAATCTCACAATTTGAAACTTTTTCAAAACCGAAGTATAGCCTTCCTTCGGGTAAAAAATTGGAAGAAGACGCCAGTTTCTACCGAATGAGCAAAATAATAAATGTTATGCAGAATGATATTACCGACAAAGACATGCATGCATGCATGTTTTTTATAAAATATGATTGAATTTTTAAGGGCATCGAAAAGCATGAGAAAAATGCATGCTAAATAAGTAGTCATTTCTATAGTATAGTTTTTGCATGCAGCCCAAAAAAAATTCGTTCTAAAGCAGGCAGCCTGATTTAACTGAATTATTTTTGTCTTATGCGGCAGGATGATTAATTTCACAATCCTACTTAATTAATCTTTTCTACACGGAACCGCATTTCCTGAGTTAGCCCATCTTCTGTAAGTGCTGCATGGAAGACTGTTCCTATAGACATTTACTTGAAATAAGCCAATAAGTAACCCCACCAAAGCGCCCCACACTGACTACAGGTGTCTACTTGCTTGAACCATCCAGAACATCTATTACTTCTGAAGCTTGGACTAATAAAAGCATGTCTCTGTTGACCGGACTGTCTTTATCCACTTCGACTTAGCGCCTTTACTAAACATTAATATCCAAATACAACCCTGATGGAACCAATATAAGCGAAGAAACGAGTCACAGAAAGCAGTCATGAAGAAGGAGACACAAACGCTGGGACAAGAGCTTTGTTAGCTTGACGTTTCGGATTCCTGCTCGAACCCATCATCAGAGACAAAAGCAGATTCGGTGGTGCACGCACAAGGGGCTGCAGTATTTATATGATGCAGTCGCCATGCTACCGCGGCCCCCCCTTTCATCAGGGATCGCTGCACTTGGTGTGATGACTGTTTGATGGCCGATATTCGCTCCACGCGGGGGGCGCACAAGTGATCACTGCTCCCAACACCAGGGTCGGTGGGTCAGATTGTCGAGCAAACATCACGCCAACATCCAACGCACGTGATGAAATTGCAGCAATTAGCGACGCGAATATCGACCATCAGACAGTCATCACACCAAGTGCAACGATCCCTGGTGAAGGGGGGGGGGGGAGCTGCGGTAGCGTGGCGACTGCATCCTTGTGCATGAACCACCCGTATCTGCTTTTGCCTCTGATGATGGGTTCGAGCAGGAATCCAAAACGTCAGGCGAATAAAGCTGTTGTCCCGACGGTTCTCTGCGGTCCGCTTGACCTCTGATCTGAAAGATTCGGCTGCAGACTGTGGTGGGGGGTTGGTGAGCGATACCTGTACACATGTTCATGTCTGACGATGAGTCAAATAGCGGTCGGGATACAAGTTGGAAAAAATGGTCAGTTATTTGCATGCTATGGCGGCGAACTGGATTTAGAGTTGCAAACACCAAAAAATGCAGTTGCCTTCTCGCAACTAAACTATTTCCCTGGCTTCATCTGAGCCATGTGTGCAATGGACTGAATGCATCCTTGCCTCATTTGCGACATGAAGAAGTTTCTACTCATTTACCTCTTCAATTCATATTCACTTGCGAACAACCATGATTTACCAGCAAGCCTATTAGTTTCTGAGATATGGGCCCCCACTTGTTTGGCATGACATCGCCGGGTGCAATAAACCGCAGTTCTTATAAATGCAATAATATTTTATTGCCTCTGAACGCGGTTGCATCCCTCCCAAAAATCGACCAGCTGTAAGACTCCAAGTTTGGCGGTCAGTCCTCTGACTTCCAACCTGAAAACGGAATTCGATTTAGAGCGATTAACTACCTGCTAATTAGTGTCTGCGATTATGGCCAAAAAAGTTCAATGTTTGTCGAAACTTTTGAAGCTCATGAGGGATAAGGGAATGCTTCCGAGAAACGAATTCTGAAATTCTGCAGGGTTCAAAATGCAAAGCGGTCCCTAAAGATTAACAGATGTATTATTTACAATAAGAAAACATAGTGTGACCGTAAATCAAAGAAAACGGTAATAATAACAGCAAAGACTGTTTAGATGAAGATAAGCGATAGACGTTATTCCCGACAATGCTGCTTTTAAATGATGCAAAGTGATTTACCTATGAGTGTGAAACGACAGATGAATAAATCATCCTCCCCAGAGATCTCTTTACCTTCTTCCATCTCAACACCTGGGGTCGGCATTTTCGCCTATATCCATCATAATTCCGGGCGCGAAGCGCTTCGCCGAGCACGGCGCTGGGAAATATATTCCTGTAGACAGGGATCTACGTATGAACAATTGGCTTTCCTACACAACTGTTTGAGGTCCGACATTATGCCAAGGAGTGTTTCTGTAAGACCACCAGCTAGGACTGACTTCGGTCGAGCGGTAGCCAGGAGCTGCAGCCGACGCCTACTAAGAACTCTCATCAACGAGTGTCACATTCGCCTGGGAAAGTACAGCAGGGAAATCGAAAGGGAAAAGACAGAATGTGCATCATACCTCGAGATGGAACCCTTAAGAAACCTGCAGAGCTGGATCTCGAGTAGGGTGAACCGCGAGCGAGAGAAGAAGAGGGCCCAACTCCTGAACAAAATGAGTAGTCTAAAGGAAGCACAAGCCGTAATACCTGAGCCATCCTCCGTCCACAACCTGTCATCCAAACAGCTGACAGACGACCAGATTAAAGTGCACGAATCAGGCTACAACACAAGGGACGCACACCCAGTGGATTTTATCGCTGCTTTTGAAGCGACACTCTCAAAGGCGAAGGCCACAGAGGACACCAAGAACTCGATTCGCCAACGAGTCGCATCACTCATCATATCCCACAAGCCACACCGAACCATCTCCTCAGCCGAGGTAAATGCCATTAAAGAATTAAAAAGGGACGAATACATTGTGATTGTCCCAGCAGACAAAGAACGGGCGACCGTGATCCTGGACAAGTCAGTGTACGTAGCGAAAGCTCAGGACCTACTCAACGATAACCAGTCATACAAGGTCATTGACTCCGACCCCATGAAAACACTGGTGACAAAAATCAACAAGAGTCTGAGTCGAATGAGGAACCAACAGGCAATATCTGAGACCGATTGGCGACAGATGAAACCACAAGATGCTGCCATAGCACGCTTCTATGGTCTGCCAAAGATCCACAAACCAAACGTTCCCTTAGGGCCAATTGTGGCGCTGAAGGGTACACCTACCTACGGTCTGGCTAAATGGCTTAGCAACCATCTGAAGAAGCTGACGAAGGGCTCAGAACACACAGCTGTATCCCCAACACACTTCCTGGAAAGACTCCGAGGCGTCAAAATAACCCCCGACGAAATAATGGTGTCCTTTGACGTCGTCTCTCTTTTCACCTCCATCCCTAAAGAATTAGCCACGGGGGTCATAAGTGACCTACTGGAGAGGAGGTACGATGAAGAGGAAAGACCTCTGAAAAGGAAGCACATAATGGAGCTACTGGACTACTGTTTGAGCACGTACTTTACGTTTAATGGCCAGGTGTACGAGCAAATCCAGGGAACACCGATGGGATCACCAATCTCCGGCTACCTAGCTGAGGCGGTTCTACAAGAACTGGAAACACGGGTCTTTCAGTCCTACATGCCAAAATTCTGGATGTGCTATGTGGATGACACCTTTGTCATCCTACCTCGAGACATGAAAGAGACGTTCAGAAGCAAATTGAACTCAATTTTCCCCCAAATTCAATTCACAATGGAGGAAGAAAAAGACGGAGAAATCCCCTTCCTTGATGTCCAGGTGTCGAGACAGGAAGACGGAGCCCTCCAAACTGGTGTCTTTCGAAAGGCGACCGATACGGCGAAAATCCTCCATTACAGCAGTAACCACCCCTTGTCACATAAACGCAGCTGCGTGCGGACGCTTTTCCTACGCATCAACACACACTGCAGCACAGAGGCTGAAAAGCTGCGAGAGCGTAAATCCCTATGGCGTCTCTTTCTCTCCAATGGGTACCCATGTAGCGTCATAAACAAATGCCTGTATCAAACGCACACGAAGAACGACGGTGAGCAAAAACAAAAACCTGAATTCTTCCGTGCTTTGCCCTACGTGAGTGACGTTTCCGAAGCCACTGAACGCATGCTCAGACCACTCAACGTGGGCCTTGGACACCGGCCGGAGGTCACTATCCGCCGCTTGCTCATGCAGCCCAAGGGGCGGCTGCCACCTGAGGACACGTCAGGAATTGTTTACCGCGTCAACTGTCTAGACTGTCCGGCCAATTATTGTGGCATGACCGACAAACGATTAAGGTCGCGCATGCATGAGCATTCTCTAGCTGTAAAGCGAAAAGATGTACGATCGCATGTTGCTATGCATAGCCTCGAAAATGACCATCAATTCGGCTTCGACACGGCAGAAGTAATCGGCCGAGTCGAAAGCAAAATGGCGAGAGAGATAATCGAAGCCTGGCAATCCAGCGCCAACTCGATCAACCGTAGAATCGACCTACCGGCGCCATATGAGGCCGTCAGGCACCACTTGAGCAGGATGGGAGGACCAATGGAAAGAGAGAACAATGGATCTATCAGTAGTGAGTAAGAAAGACCTATTTAAACCTTGTGTTCCCACTTTTAATCTATCTCCGATGATGCGCTCAAGTGTGAGCGTGAAACGTCAGATGAATAAATCATCCTCCCCAGAGATCTGTTTACCTTCTTCCATCTCAACACCTGGGGTCGGCATTTTCGCCTATATTCATATGTGGGAGGGGACCGAAGTGATCGCTAGTGCCAACACCAAACAAACGCGAGAGTTTCTGGAAGCTTGGCACTCTAATAGCAATAGCATCAACCGCCATGTCGACTTAGACGCTCAATACGAAGGCTTACGTTCACGGTTCGCCGGCTTGCGCCCACCCTAAGCCACCAACTGCTAATCCATGTTCGGCCATGTAGAATATCATGGATTCAGCACCTCCCCCACAGAGTGAACCATGTGTGAAACCCCCAACACCACCCCTAACGTCCGCCACCTATCCAACCACGTTCTTCACCCCCCCACATAAACGCCTGTCTTGTCGATGTAACCTCGATGTCCCCCTGACTCCCCAGTAGGATTATCTCCCTCACACTTTTCATTTTCCTCTGACGACGGGTTGGTGTAACCGACTTGAAAATTCACGAGTATACCTCGATTTTCCGACGAGCCTTCTCCTTTTATTATATCGCCTCGGAATGCATACTACCTCCATTATTCATATATATATATATATATATATATATATATATATATATATATATGAATAACTGATGTGGTGTGCATTCCGAGATGATATAATGAGAAAGTGAAGGCTCTTCGGAAAATTGAGTTGTACTCGTAAATTTTCAAGTCGGTGACACCGACCCGTCGTCAGACGAAATGAACAGAGGGAAAGTGAAGTCGGCAGACTAGGTCGGCTGGCGCGACAGGACAGACAACGACAAACAAACAGCAGATGTGTGAGAGGGGTGGGCACCTAGTTATGGTAGGCCGTGGGGCAGGGGGAGGGAGGGAGGAACCGTTAGGGCTCCCAGTGTTGGAGGCGGTGAAAACGCGGGGGGATGGGGATTGCGAATCAGCGGGAATGCGGGCGGCTGGCCACTGATGCGGACGGCTAGTCACTGATGCGGGATGAGGTCAGGGGCCAATGCGCCGGCGTTGGAGGTGTTAGGGGGGTTTCGGTTGTTGTTCACCGTGTCGCAAGGGGGGAGCGAAATGGCGAAAGAGCATACGTCTATGTGGCCGAGTGGGGGTTAGCAAATGTTGAGGTGTGGGAACAAGATAGTGAGCGTGTAGGTAGGCCCTCATAATGAGCGTCTAGATCGACGTGGCGGTGGATGCTGGTCGTGCCAGAGTGCCAAGTTTCGAGAAATTCTCGTGCCTGTCTGGTGTTAGCCTTTGCGATCACTTCAGTGCCGTCCCAATTGAAGCGGTGGTCATGCTCAGTGGCGTGTGCCATATATATATATATTATGATAGTGGGCGCTCACCGATCAGGTTACGGAACATGCTCGTTCCGTTGTGCCTTGGGGCTCATACTTAAACCCTCGCAGGCAGTCGCACAGCGACTAGTGATATATGTTGAGAAGATGATACCGACAAAGACAAGGGAGACCGGAATGGCCATTTCTGGCTTATTAGCCGTCATCAGCCAGTCATACCCAACCCCAAGTGTGGATCACTTGAGATTCGAACCCGGGATCTTTGGTCATGGAGTTGAACGCTCTACCATTGAGCCACGGGTCCGTTGTCCTGTCGGTTGTGATCGGGAATATCAATTATGACAGATGGGCGCTCACCGATCAGGTTACAGAACATACTCGTTCCGTCTGCCTTGTCTTTGTCGGTATCGCCTTATCTACCTATATCAATAGTCGCTGTGCGACTGCCTGCCAGGGTTTAAGTATGAGCCCCAAAGGCACAAGAGAACGAGTATGTTCTGTAACCTGATCGGTGAGCGCTCATCTGTCATAATATCTGTATGTATATATTACATAGACAGCCCGCTAGACGTACAACAGGCCAGACGCAGACAGCTGTTTCAGGGTCGTTACCGATCATCAGTACGTTATAGGCCTTACGAAGTGAGGTACATAAGCATGTCAAGTGGGCGTTTGACCCTCATTGTTGTGGTTAGGATCTCACTCGATCCCATTCTGACCGCCCGCCAGGTTGCTACCGGCGACAACGAACGCTGTGTCATAGGACACGTACCACATAAAACCCATAGGCAGCTCGCTTGGAGGAAAATCGAATCAACCAAATTTTAGTGGTATTTTCAAATCTAAAACGCATTTCAAAATTTCAGATAACATTTCCTAAGATAATACGCCCACTGCATGTTCCAGCAACCGAGTCTGGATTTTTCCAAACCACCAGTGCCATCAGCGGTGGTCTTCATCTAATGGGTGTGAGCTTTGCCCCAACCCAGGTGTCTTCTGTTTTGTTTTCTGTCAGTACGTTTTCTTGCACTAAGCTGGGAGTAGGTAGTGTTTATCTAGAAGATTCTTGGGGCCGCGTTCCGGCAGGAAGGGCATACTACATCCAGATTCTGACAATTTAAAATGCCCATGTGCAAATAAGGAAAGGGTGAGATGGATGTACATCGGTTGCTGTTATAGCAGAAGTTAAGCACACCTTACCTTCACAATCCAGTGAATTTCGAAACTTCCAGGCTTGATTTCACAGATCTTATGTCTACCCCAAATCACTCTGCGGCAGACAACGTCTTCCGGTTTCAGTCCATCAAGCCGCAGAAAGTGTGTGCCTTTGTCGTTAAGATTAACTTGTCGACCGTTGAGTCGGTGCCAGATGAAAGTACTCAGGCGCTTGTCATCATAGTTAGGTTCTACAAGGGGGGGGGAGGGTAACAGCTTTACTAGGTGCAGTATCCTTAAATGGAAGTCACGGCTGAAGGCTAAAGGGTACTGACTAGCTTGAACTCACTACTGAATGCTGTAGGTACTTTATACAGTCTCTATTTGGGCCACGCTCATCTTTTATTGTCTTAACTTGGGAATATTGTAGGTACAGTGCGTGACCTATCTCACGAATTGTTGGCTGAAATTCTGAAATGCGTTTTCGATTAGGAAGGATTATTTGGTCGCGGTTGTGATACTGATTATCATAAGGCATACTCTGATAACATTTTAGACTCGGCCGGATGGCGGCTTTAAAATGCACTTCTTTTCAATCTCCTGTAGAAAGCGTGCTCGGTAAAAAATGACTACTTAAGTAGCATGCATTTTTCTCATTGATTTTCGATGGTTTTGAATATTCGAATATATCTTATAGAAACCACAAACAAAAATATGCTTTCTTTTAGTCAATCAATAGAGAATTGCGTCTTCTTTATATTTTACACTTAAGAAAGGAGTATAATTAGGTTTTAAAAAAGTTTCTAATTATGAGACTTTTTAGGGCCGCGATATGCCCATTCACATAGCATCGTACCTGGCCGTTTACCACTGCTCCTCATGAAATGTACAACATGGTCCGCATCCATTGCAAACTTTTATGGATCCTGTATGATATCTCTTTAGTGACATAGAAAAATATGGGATTTTCTTTACGCGAAACGTATGCACCTTGTAGAGTGTAATCAATAAGCGCTAATGCAACGAATGATCAGGCTCCAAATTATTCGGTAATTAGAAAACTTTTTTAAAACCTCATTATACTCCTTCGTTAAGTGTAAAATATAAAGAAGACGTGATTCTCTATTGACTGACCAAAAGAAAGCATATTTTTGTTTATGGTTTCTATAAAATATATTTGACTTTCCAAGACCATCGAAAATAAATGGGAAAAATGCATGCTACTTAAGTAGTCATTTTTTACAGAGTGCGCTTTTTACAGGAGATTGAAAAGAAGTGCATTTAAAAGCCGACATCCTGCCGAGTCCGAAATGTTATAAGAGTTTGCCTTAAGATAATCAATATCACAACCGCGACCAAATAATCCTTCCTAATCGAAAACGCATTTCAGAATTTCGGCCAACATTTCATGAGATAGGTCACGCACTGTATGAGACAAAAATTATGGCGCATGCTGAGCAAGTTTATTTCACTATAAACCATTTCACTCGCAAATCATCAATGCGCCTTCAGGGCAGTGGGGAGGTCGTTGCTTGAAATGGCCGGACCCCTGCTCGCGCAAGACCTGGCGACAATTAGGAAGCCGTTGCATTATCATGCTATCCTAGTATATATAATGTAGTTTTTAAATATACCTGGCTACAAGGCCGATGCAGTCGGAACGACCCGGTAAGTTGACGATCCGTCTGAACTAGCAATAGGAAGTCTTTTCTGTCTTAACGAGAGCTGCCGCAGATCTTTCCCGTCACATTAACGGGTAAAAAGAGTCATTTCTTGGGACAGGCTTAGCGAGCTCGAGAAATCGCAAAGCCTGACTATCCTAGAAATTGATTGCTGAATCTACCATTAACCGAAGATTAGGTGTGATCAGTCATCACATTGTCAAACGAAGTTTTCGTGTCAGATTGTGGGGGGGGGGCGAATTTGCTTTAGGTTTTGGCCAGCGGGTTCGCGTGCAGACTGAAGGCTGAAAGGATCTGAGTAAGCTTCATCTGCAAAACTGGTCCGATCGGTAATCTATTTATCTCTCCTGACTAAACTGGGGACATTTGACGCCGAGAGATAGTAGATCATCATATCACTGTTTATACTGCTCGACGCCCGCATTTTAAAAGGGACCCAAACCCGACTTCGATTGCAGATCCAGCCGAAAGGGCTTGAGGACAACAACAAGATATAATGTGGGGTTGCTGCTTCATTTTTACATGTTTACCACTTCACAATTCTGCCTCTTTTGTGCAGTGCCAATTGGACGACACTGAATAACCGTTTTTGAAGTTATTCGCGGTTCCCAACTGCACATTACAGAACCCGATAATCCATTGATTTTGTTTCGGGCGAGATAACTTTCCGGTATTTGGTGTCGCTGGTGTCTGCCCAAAGCATTTTTTTATACAGAAACAAAAAGCTTTTTTCTTAAAAACCACCCTTTGCCTCCACCCTTACTCACACAGCATCGATGCTTTCAGGTTGAAAACATGTCTTCTAGTCACGCAAGGACGAGTTGCTAACTCCCTTAGAGCCTACAGTCCTCATAATCACTACCACTTTGCTGGAACCTGATTTAAGTAAATGCACAATAGTGCGAAAGACAAAATCTGTATTCCATTTTCAATCAACACGTCCTAAGTTTACGACTATGAGGAGCCTGCATACCCGCAGTTGGAAAAAACATCCACAAGATGCCGGCTAACTTTACATCATGACAGGCGACACAGCGGCAACTTAAGAGATACTTTGAAAGGCATGCATAAAGTACATGACCAGGGACAGAAGGAGATAATACATGAAGCGTTTTTTACGAGGGTTGTGATTATAGAAGTTAAACATGCGTGGCCTCATAGAAGCGTACTGGAGCAGCCTTAAAAGGAAACTGTTTGAAGGAGGTCTCGTGTCAGTCAGAACTGTATGGGTCCATATGGACAGACGAGACACAGTATCGCCTTTGGCTTAGGCTGAAAATCAGGGGTCTAAAGGAGACATTGAAAATCTTCCTCTCCCATATTATGTACGTAAAGGAGTAGATTCCGTCCTAATGTTCTCCGTCGGGTACCCGGATATGACGGCGATGTGGGCGGCGGGAATGTGCCTCTTGCATCTCCTCACTTGAGGACAAATGTTTTGCCTTCGATTAAGGAATTACGCGTAGAAGGTGCAGAACAATGAGTTAATGTAGACTTTTTTACAGCACTGCGTCCTCGGGGCGGTTTAGTTCAATGAACGTCATCCTATCGCGGTTAGAGCCGTCGTAGGGCGTGACTTGATTTCGACCAGAAACTCTGTCGAATACCGCCTACGCAGATAAATATAGTAGGCAGTTCACGATAGTAACCCTAACCCCGTCAGATACCTTCGAAATAAGAGAGGCCGACAGTGTAAGTCTGCCTTGTGACACTGTTCGCCTTTTTGGGGAAGTTATGAGCGGCTGAGCGGACGGACGGACGGAGGGGGGAAGACGTGGACATTAAGCGAGTAGTGTTCATACAGCGAACCTGCTGCAACATTGCGCCTTGCGCACGTACTTGCACGCGCACAACACCGGTATTCTGGTTGTCAGCCAATAAACTTCAAGGTTGACTCCGAAATGCTCTCGCCCTAGGCGCTCGCTCTAACGCATGCTCTGCGACACCGAAACCGTGCCCTCATCTGACTGCCAATCGTCTATAACCTGTTCTCCATAGAATGCAATACTCTCTCTCTCTCTCCCTACTGCCGCCCAACTTCTCCTCTTTCTATCCGGAGACGGATCGGAAGATCGTAGGGGCTAGTGTCTGCCAGTGACTTAAGCCACTGCGGCATTAGTATCAACCGTCGCCTGTAAGCTGTGATTGCTCATACCTACCCAGCCTGGAGTTCAGAACCCAACCGATTTCACGAGGCAGCTGCCAATCCCCAACGGAAGATTCACCTTGTAGGTGGGTAATCGAAACAGAACGACGGCTAACCAGAGTAGCATTGTGCTCGTCAAAGTCTGATGAGTCGTGAGGCTACATTTCAGATCAGTCAAAGTCCACTCCAGCAGTCTGGTATTTGAACCTGAGTGGGTATCAGACAAGAGCGAAAGAGGCCACTGCTGCGTAAGTTTCCTACCGCCAGTCTGATCCAATTCGGCTGCAGGTCACGACTGTTCTCACCTGTCTGATGAGGGCAATAGTTGCGTTCGACGGTGGGAATCTTACCGCCCTTCACTGGCACCTCCACAAAAGATCACTAACTCATTTATTTTTTCAGTTCTTACCCTGACAATGAGCTGCTCCAAAATTCCCCAAAATTACCTCTCATGTAGCATCGTACCTCTAGGCAGCAGTATTCGACACTGCAGTACACTTACCTAACACAGTGATGGTCTTGGCTTGAACCTTCTTGCCTATGTAACAGTAAATTGCCGTTGGAAAGTCGTCGGAGGCCGACTGAATGATGGAAAATTCAAAACCCTTCAAGTCCTGTTGAATGTCTGTTGGGAAGCATAGATAAAAGTTTTAAATTGATGAGACTGATGAAAGCAAAAAAGGAACTAATCAGTTACAGACTACTTGACAGCCCGAAGTAGCAGCAGCAGTGGAAACTGCCATTGAAAGGAACTAACACCAGTGAAGTGTCCGTGCCATTTAAATGTTTAAAGTGCTGTCATTTTAAGCATGAGTGCGTAGACACACATTTCAGCACCTCCAACGGGCCTCTCCTAAGCCCTAGTCGTATCACAAGCACTCAACTGTTAGCCATTTACAATAGGTAGGCTAACTTATGAAATGCCAGCCAAAATTCCGAAATGAGTTTTCGTTACGGAAAGATTAATTAATAGGGTTGTGAAGCTGATCATTGTGCAGCACAATTCTATAGTAATTCAAATTTCTCATGATGCCGCAGTTCGAATGAACTTCGTTCCGGCTGCATGCAGAAACTATGCTTTGTGAAAATATGACTACTTCAGTATCATGCGTTCTTCTTGTTGATTTTCGATGTCCTTAAAAGTGAAACTATATTTCATGGAAAAAATGCATAAAAATATTCATTCTCTTACTCATTCGACAGAAACTTACGTCTTCTTTCAATTCGGTATAATTCGGTTTTGGAAAAGTTTCTAATTGTGCGATTTTTCAATACCGTCAAATGGCCTTTACAAAACGCCATGTCTGCATTCATTAATGTGGCTTGTAAGGTCAACAATATCGCTCAAATCCACTGCTAAATTTTACGAACCTCATATGGTCTCTTCTTACTACTGTAAAGAAATGTATGGTTTTCCGTACGTGGAAAATATACGGCTTGTAGTTTGGAGACCCTGAATTCATGTGTAACGGCAGGTCGAGGTTCAAAATTATTCGGGAATTGGAAGGGCTTTTCAAAACCGAAATGTGCCCTTCCTTCGAGTATAGACTTGGGAGAAGACGTTATTTTCTACCGAATGAGCAGGAGAAAGGGTATTTTTTATGCTTGTTTTCCATGAAATATAGTTTCACTTTTAAGGACATCGAAAATCAACAAGAGCAACGCATGATACTGATCTAGTCTTTTTTTCACATGCATCATGCATGCAGCCAGAAAGGACTTTGTCCGAAAGTCGGCATCCTGAGGTAACTGAATTATTATAGAATTATGCTGCACGATGGTCAGTTTTATAATCCTATTTAATTAATCTTTCCTTTACGAAAATTAATTTCGGAATTTTGGTTGACATTTCATGAGTTAGACCACCTACTGTATGTAGCAGTTTTTGGAATTAACAACAAACACATGAAGTAAGTTCCACAACAGTAGAGATTCTGTGAAATTTTTTCCAGCTACCTATCATCCTTTTCCACATATACGGTCAGCGTGGATGTCACGGCTTTGCAGCAAGTTTAATCTCGCATCAAGCATTTGCTCGTATCTGGGGGTAATTAACCTCTCTCCTTTTTAACTCCTGACTTCACCAACTTAGCAGTGGTCGGTCCGCACTAACATTGTTTCAAATTCGCTATTTATATTTCGTGCAGTTGAAGACTAATCTAACTCTCTGTCGTACTCTGTCTTCAATGCGCTCAAAATTCACAATTAGACAAAGGAGCAATTAAAACAGTGACGAGAGTGTTTGCTGTTTTTCGCGATGTTTTATTGACTGCAAATATGACTTTTTAAGCTTTACCCTGCAGTCTGGGAAAATTTTCGACTGTCTGTATACGTGTCACTGTTACCCTTTTTCACATGTAAGAGATTGGACAATGAGGACTACACGGCATGGAGACATAAGAACCCGACAATTAAGTGAAACAGAATCAAATCGCCATATTTTATGTCCTGTTTTTTTGTCACACTAGACCACTAAGTTATGCGGAGTTTGCGAAGTGTGCTGTGGTCGGTAAGACATTTTGCATCAACCATTATTGAAAAGATAAGCAATAGTAAATCAGCTGTAGAGGTCGTTTCAAATGGGCTACCAAACCGAACTTCGGCGTCGGAGTGCCTCCGCCATTGTTCTAAAAGTCAGCTTTTCAACAAAGAAGTCTGACGTCGCCGTGCATAGGAACAGCTGTAGTCCACATCCATCTCGGTCTGTGGATCTTCAAACTCGACGCTTGAATTCATGTACAGTGAGATCTCGGGCCTGAAGGACTGAAGAAGTGTCTAGTGTGTCTGTTGATTTGCCAACGTTGCATGTTTCGTCTAGATTGCAGTTTGTAGCCAGGAATGGGAAGCGGACGGCGACTTTAACCCTGATCCTAACCTTAACTCTAACCTCAATCTTAAACGCTAACCGTTAACCCTAACGGCAGCCCTAACCCTAATCGAAATCGTAAACTTAACCGTAGCCCTTAGACATAGCCGTAACTGGAAAATCTAACCGTAATACTAAAACCTAATCGTACGCTCAAACCCTAACCGTAACCCAAAAACCTAAGCCTAAAGGCATAACCCTAACTCGAAAATCGGAAACCACTAACCGATACCCTAATCCTAACCTCAAACGTAAAACGGAAGCCAAATGGATCAGATGTGATTATAGAGCCCCATTAAATAGCCCCAGTAAACAACCCCCCGCCACCTGTAATACGGGTTATGACTACCAACTGCGACCTAGTCCATGCTTCTTTATCAGAATTGTTTTGGCCGCCTTTGAGGGCCACTGAAATACTTACGTGCTTGTTTCTGCAGGAGAACAAGCGACGCACCCATTATTGTACTTTTTTATGTCATTTTGTATGAGATAATGTAAAACAACAAAGCATAAAACATACTGCATTTTCCAGATTCTCCTGACGTCGTCATACCAGAGCAGATTGATTTGTGTTGATCAATACAACCAAACGGCTACAATTGGCAAACACATCGCTTGACAATATGCAATTTCAATAACTGAAGTATAACGTTTTGCAACAGCGACAGCAGTACGAAGTGATATCAACACTATGAAAAGGCAATAATTTAAAAATTGACTAACTTAATCGGACCAAATTACTCGAGTCTTTTGCAATTAATGGAGCAACTTTTAAGAATACAATGAGTGACCGATCTCATGAAATGTTGGCTGAAATTCTGATATGCGTTTTCGATTGGGAAGGGTTACTTGGGCACGGTTGCAATACGGATTATTTTGCAACATAATCCTATAATATTTTGGACTCGGCAGGATTTCAGCTTTTGTATGCGCTGCTCTTTAATCTCCTCTAAAAACAGAACTATGTAAAAAATGACTACTTAAGTAGCGTACACTTTTAAAATTGATTTTCGATGGTTTCACAAATTCAAATATATTTTACGGAAGTCACGAACAAAAATATGAATTCGGTTGTTTGATAGAAAATCACGTCATCTTTATATTTGATACTCAAAAAAGAGGATAATTAGGTTTAAAAAAGTTGTCCAATTCCAAAATAATTTGGAGCCTAATCAGCGCCTAGTGATTTCAGTCTGCACGGTGCATGCTTTCCGCATAAATAAAATCACATATTCTTCTATGGCTTTAAAAAGATAATCTATAGTGTCCATAAAATTTCGCAATGTATGCGGACTATGTTTTACATTTCACGAGGAGCAGTGGTGAACGGAGAGGTTCAATGTTGTATGAATGGACATTGCACGGTCTTAGAAACTTTTTTTTAAAACCTAATTATACTATTTCCTCGAGCGTAAAATGTAAGGATGACGTAATTCCCTATCAAACGACCGAAATATTATAGGACCATATTGTATGATAATCAGTCTTACAACCGCGCGTAATTTATCCTTCCTAATTGAAAACGCATTCCAGAATTTCAGCCAACTTTTCAGGAGATCGGTCACTCACTGTGCGAGTTACCCCAAGAGCAAAATGTGGGACAAAGAAGTCTCAGTTTGCAAGAAAAAATCACTTGTTTTTATAGCTATCATTTAAAGACAGTCTAACGCTGACTGTGCGATCTGATGTATAGGCTACTTATAAGCTCCATAATGGACCGCGCTCCAAATAAGCCGGACCAAGGTGGGGATCGAAGTGGCTTATACAACTAGTTTATCGAGCTGCGCCGGCATAGAAGGCGGCCAAAACAACCTATTCTTATAAGGAAGATGGACGCACGATCGCTGGGACAGTCGATATATTAGTCTGAGCTTTCGGTCTAAGAGAACTACGACCAAATACACAGACCCCCAAAAATGACCACTTAGTACAACTCTGTGCTTTCTGCCAACAAACCTTTTTCACCTTCAGTGGCAGAACATACAAGCAGATAAAAATAACGTCAGTGGGTTCGCCAATATCCAACCTGGTTGCAGAACTAATCTTGCAGGAGCTGGAAAAAGTCGCCTTCGACCACTGTAAACTTGCACTTTGGCGCCGGTACGTGGACGACACGTTCGTTATAATTGAGAGGAGCAGACAGGCCGACTTTCAAGACCTGCTTAACGGCATCTTTCCGGGCATTCAGTTCACAAGGGAAGAAGAGCATGCCGAACAGCTGCCCTTTCGTGACGTCCTCGTCGCACGCACACCCAACGGCGAACTCAGCACTACGGTGTACCGAAAGGCGACTAATGCGACTCAGATTCTCAACTACCATAGTAACCACCCAATGGCGCATAAACGCAGCTGTGTTAGGGCACTCTTCCAAAGGGTAAAAATGCACTTCAGTGACCCAGAGGGACGAGTACGAGAACTACGGCATCTTCGGGACCAACTGGTAAGGAATGGATACCCAAACAGCTTCGTCAGCCGCTGCCTCCGCACGCACCCAGGGCGAACAAACGGAGAAGAGTAGTCAACACCCTGGCACCCTCTACCACATATAAAGGACGTGTCCGAAGCGATGGAACGTGTCGTTGGAGAGCTCGCTGTGGGTATCGCTCACCGTCCGGCAGCGACTTTGCGCAACAAAACCATGCGAGTGAAGGACGGACTAGACGTCGGAGAACAATCGGGTGTCATTTATCAGATCCCATGTCGGGACTGCCCTCGCCACTACAGAGGACAGACTGGACGACGACTTAGCTCACGAATAACGGATCATAAAGGAGTGGTCCGGAGAGGCGATCCGTTGTCTCGGTTCGCCACTCACACCCTGGAGGAGGGCCACGAATTCAACTTCGTGAGCACTCGGATAGTAACGCGGGTCAGCAATAAGACAGGGCGATACCTGTTGGAGGCCTGGATGTCTGACACCAACTCAATCAACAGACGCGTTGATATACCCCCCTGCTATTACGCGCTTCGTTCCCGCGGCCAAGAGGCGAGACCCAATTTGCAGCCAAAGGTGCACGCCGTCACGCCGCCGTGAGACGGCGTCAGACACAGTTTATCGCGAATACCACCCCCGCCATCATGGCTTGACAACAAAAACTGCTCATTTGATGTCGTATTCTCACAGTCTCTGTCGACGGCCTCCTGTACGAAATCGAAAGCTCAGACTTGTACACCTACTGTCCCGAGATCGTGCGTTCTTCTTCTTTGCGACAAGAACCTGGGATTCGCATATTCGCTCCCAACCTCTTCTTAAGAGGGCCTTCATTGTACTCTCAAATATGCAGGATCCTCGAGAAAGCCTTGTGCACGCTGTGTGGTCTGGCACGCGAAGATGGGTCGTTTAGTTTCGTCAGACTCTGTGCTTAAGCCAACCTTCGATAGTCCTGACACTGTCTCGCCTTAGGAGCTAACGAAAAGGGGGTATACGGTGGACGCTGCGGAAATTGGCCTTACTATAAACTCATTCACACGCAAGTAACCGGTGGTGGATCCAGACCAGGGGAACGCAATTAACGTTGTCGACTTTGTTAGGTAAACTGTACTCTATTAGAATGGGGCTCAGCCATCGCGCTACGGAACTCACTCGTCCCCCTGTGCCTTAGGGCTCTCTCTCTGTCGAGCCCCACCAGCCGCCACATAACGACGCGTGATACAGGCGGCATAGCATTGCCAACAAAGACCAGGCAGCCTGGAATGGCCGTTTCTGACTTATTAGCCGTTGTCGGCCAGTCATACACCGAAATGTGGAACACCCTGGGCTTGATTCAACAATCCATTGGTTAGAAGACAAACGCTCCTAACCACTGAGTCATGGGCTGGTTGTCTTATCGGTTGTGATCGTGAATATACAGTAGCAGAGTGTCGCTTATATATGTCATATGTGGAATAAGAGGACGCTGCCATAAAGACAGCGAGAAAATCGCTTTGGCTACCATGAGCACGCGCCGGTACTATATAACATGGTGATTAGGTTGCACAACTGTCGGATAACAGCAATAGCCCTTGTTAAGCAATAGAAAACACGTAGTTAAGATGCTTCTAGCATAAACTAGTGACTGTGTTATTTGGTGCCGTATGTAAAATTTATGAAATGCTTTGAACTGTGTCAGTTACAATTAGATGGCTAAAAAAAGAGAGAATGTCGTAAGGGAACATGTTTACCAAAATTATAGGGCAATAAATGTATGTAGACCTTTGACGTCACATTTTCCGACGTTGAGACCAACCAAGTCAACTTGACCGAAGCTCCTGCTTCATGAACGATGTGATTGTTTGGCACGCCTGCATTCTGCACGAACGCCGCAAAGTCTTAAACATTAAAGACAAAGATTTTTTGTTATTGGTGTTGGTCATAGAGTTATATGCACTATTAATTAAGTTCCCTGCTCCTTTAGACAAAAGGTGAGGCCCGATTACGAAAATAGGCATTTAATGTAGCGCGAAAAATACAGGCACACGCGTTGCCGTACCAGTCAACCGTGTGTTTCCAATATATATATATATATAATGGTAGAGGGGACGCTCACCGATCGTTCTTACGGAACTCACTCGTTCCATTGTGCTTTACGGGCTCTCTCGCAACCCCAACCAGCAGTCGCACTGCGGCGCATGACAAAGGCAGAACGGTATTGCCGACAAAGACAAGGGAGATTGGAATGGCCATTTCTGGCTTATTACCCGTCGTCAGCCAGTCATACCCAACCCAGAAGTGTGGAACACCCGAGGCTCGAACTCGCGACCTGTTAGTTAGAAGTCCACACCTATAACCACTGGGCCACGAGTCCGTTACCCTGTCTGTTTCGGTCAGCTGAAAGGAGCTCCTATGGGGTCGTCTATTTCTGGCATTTTGGCTGAAATCACAATGCGAAAATTAGGGTCTATGGCCTTACAATTATTCAGTCCAAAATTATGGGTACGTTACGTAGATGATACCTTTGTCATCGTCAATAGAGATCAGTTAGAAACGTTGCATAACGCTATAAATTCAACACTACCGGGAATTACCTTCAACCTCGAAAAAGAAGTTAACAGCAAACTCCCATTTCCTGATGTCCTCGTACAGCGAAAAACTGACGGGACATTCCACACATCAGTATACCGCAAAAAAACGTATGCTGCAGTTATCCTACACTACGAGGGCTACCACCCTATGGTTCACAAACGGAGTGCTATTAACACCCTACTTTATCGAGCAAAGACACATTGCTCTGAGAACGAAGAGTACAAAGAGGAACTTAATTATCTGTTTAACCCTATTTTTCCAAAACGGCTACCCTAGAGATTTTGTACGCCGATGCATGCAACAGCAGGAATCAAAAGAAAGAGAAAAGGAACTAGATTTTTCCGATCAGACGCCAAAACCAAAACACTGGCGAACGCTTCCTATATAAAACATGTATCTCAGCTCGTTGAAAGACACCTGAGGAAGCACCAAATACAAGCGGCTCACAAACTGACCACTACGCTACGCAATCACCTCGTAGACTCTAAGGATAGGGTTGGTTATTTGGATAAAAAAGAATTAGTCTATAAGATTCCATGTGGCACTTTTAATGTAGTGTATTGTGGTCAAACCGGAAAATCCGCCTCTACACGCCTACATGAACACCAATTGGCAGTGTAGAGGCGAGACCACTTATCCCAAGTCACCATGCATACTCTTGAAACTGGGGACAAATTCGCTTGGGATAAAACACGCATTGTCGGTTCCTGCCCGCATAAGAAAGGCCGAGAATACCTAGAGGCCATTCACTCTGATGATTCATGCATTAATCGACGCATCGATCTTGACGTTATGTGCATAAATCTCAAGGAAAAATAGAAAAGGTAGTAGCCAATCAAGACGTGACATTAGTCCACAGCATTAACCCATCCTCAGCCATGACAGAGCATTATAGATTTTTTTCGGCATTGTTTAAATTTTGACTGTTTCTTCACACTTACTACACGTCTGAAGACGAGCTGGGGGACCAGACTCGAAAAGTTACGAAATAAAGTTTGTTCATTTTCCTAAGGGACTCATTGTTCTTCGAATTATGTTTATTGGGATGCCCATCTTCCATCTTCCAGTCGGAATTTCGTAAATTAATCAGGTTTTTAGATATACTCCCCATGTAGTGCCTTGAAGCTCAATCTAGTGCCCGAGAAGATAGTCTCATAACGGCCCTGGGTATTTATTGAAGGGGATATCGACAAAGAAAATGCGGACTGAGCTATCCTTTTCTGAATTATTGTTCGTCACCTGCAAGTAACGTTCAACCTCTAAGCGCCAGAGATCTCAATCTGCTATATTTGGTCAGTAAGTTGAATGCTTTGCCACTGAACAATGGGCCCGGCGTCCTGTTGTCGACTCAGTTTTAGAACACTCAACATAGTGATCAAAGATTCTGAGTCCGAATCTCGGAATTTATGGACCTGAGATCAGGCGTGGTTGGCTGCTGACAGTGAATAAGTTTGAAAGGGATATTTTAATCTCCTTTGTTTCGTCCGTACTCCTCTCAATGAATATCCAAATATGTATGAAATGGTACCGACAAAGACAAGGGAGATCGGGATGGTGATTTCCGGCTTATTAGCCGTCATCAGCCAGTCATACCCAACCCCAAGTGTGGATCACTTGAGATTCGAGACCGGAATCTTTGGACATGGAGTTTGACACTCCACCATTGAACCACGGGCCCGTTGTCCTGTCGGTTGTGATCGGAATATTCATTATGACAATGGGCGCTCACCGATCAGGTTACGGAACATGCTCGTCCCGTTGTGCCTTGGGGCTCATTCTAGAACCCCCACAGGCAGTCGCACAGCGATGATTAAGTCTTTATGCATCGTGTGTTACTTAACGTGATGTGTGGCTTTGCCCCTGTTAGCAGGAGTTGCTAAAGATCAGGCTTGACTGGCAGACAGCGTGGTCTAAGTCTATCAATTCCCTGATAAAGGTATGTGCATGTGGAGACAGGATAGACAGAAATGTCCATTTAAACGTCTGTTTATCGACAACCGGAGGGAACTGGGGACAACATGAGTTCGGTTAGCTATCGAGGTCAACCGGAGGTGCCTACCAACAGAAGCATTTGTTGGCCTAATCGTACAGTAGATGTGCTAACTCATGAAATGTTAACTGAAATTAAAAAATTCGTTTTCGAACAAAAAAGACTGCTCAAGTAGGGTGGTAATATTAATCACCGTACAGCATAATACCACAATAATTCGGTTAATCCAAGATGCCAGCTTTTAAATAAACTTCTTCTCGATTGCCTAGAAAAACAACACCCTGTGAAAAATGAATATTATGGTACTATGACTTTTTATCTTTGATTTTCGATATCCTTATAAATTCAAAAATATATGAAACAAAACATGCAAAAACGTTCTATTATTTTACTCATTTAGTAAAACTATGACGTCTCATTCCAATTTGTACCTGAAGTAAGGATATGGTTTGGTTTTAAAAAGTGTCAAGTTGTGAGATTTTTTAAGATCGTGAAATGTTCTTTCATAAATCATCGCTACTATGAAGTTACTAATGCTTCTGGTAAAGTTTAAAATGTGGCTCAAATCTACCGCTTAACTATGCGAACGCCATATGTTCTTCTTTTAATATCGTATAGAAGTGTGTGGTTTTCCATACACGAAAAATATACAGTTTGTGGCTCGAAAATTCCGAATGCGAGTGTAACGGTAGGTCGGGTTCACAATTATTCAGGAATTGGAGTAGTTTTCCAAAACCGAATTATAGCCTTACTCTAAGTATAAAATTGGAAGAAGTAATCTTTTACTAAATAAGTAAGGTAATCGTTTCCTATGGTATATATTCCAATTTGCAAGGGATATCGAAAATCAGTGTGAAAAATTCACACTGCGCCAGTAATCATTTGTTGCAGTATGTTTTATGCAAGCAGCCGAAAAGAAGTTTGTTCAAAAGCCGGCATTTTGAACAAACTAAATTAATACGGCATTGGGTTGTACGGTGATTAATATTACAACCCTAATTAAGTAATCCTTTTGGTTCAAAAACGCATTCTGGAATTTTTAGTGAACACTTCATGAGTTAGCCAATATACTGCACGTTAGTGGACCGCCAACGCCTATTGTTTCCCATGTTCTACGTTGAATCTTTTGCGTCTTCGCGTATCATGACATTTAACATCCCACTCGGGAATGGGTGAGTTTGGATAGCTTCACACGCCGGTGTCGGCCTATTTAAAATATGTTAATGCATACAAAAGTGCGATGCCGTCCGGCTTGTAAGTTTATATCGAACTTAATAAAAACTACTCATGCTACATTTACTGCAAAACCCTCATCGCTAAGGGTTTATAAAGCGCAATCCTAGTGGTTCATCTTTTCAACATGTAACACATCCTGCTACACACTAAATTACGAATAAAGGACAGTATTAAAACAAAGTAGAAACTAGCTCAGACGTATGGCCGGGAAAATTTAAGCACGTCATTCGTTTAGCGTCCTAACTAATGCACATCAATAGATGACGAGCGAGAGTTAGGGGCTTAGAAAATGACTGGACAAGCGTAGTTTTTCATATAAAATGGCAAAAGAGGATTAATACAAATAAAAACCAAATTATTTGATTCTAAAATCGGGCGAAAGGAAATCTGACATGAAGCGTGGCCAGTGGCATATAACAGAGAGTTTAAAGTGCTCATCCGTTGCGACTGAATATAAAGGATTTTTCACACTGGGCGGAAGGGACAATGGCAAAAACCTGCGTAAGTTTCAAAATTGTTTTTTTTTCAGTTAACTGGATTTTGGTTATTTCGACTTGGGCAAAATGTAGGTCGCGCTATCTACTCAGTTTTCTATTTCCGCATTTGAGAGAAAAGTGGAAACTAAGGACGATGCATGAATGATATATTCGCAACTGCACCTGAGCAAAACGACGTTTTTGTTCTACTGGATGACTTAAATTAGACGTCAAATCAGATTTATGCTGGATCAAGACCAGACCAGATCGCTCGCCTTTTTGGTATTCTGCTGAGCAGAAGGCCCGACGGTAGTATTCGGCGTGCCTTCTGTTGTAAGAAGACGTGATTCGGGCAATACATTATCATTGGGAGTTTCATACAGCTAAACTTGAAGCATAATTCAGTCCGCCTTTTGACACAAAAAGTGAGTAAGGATTTGCTTGGCAGATAGCCCTGAGTGAGTAAGATTGCCGAAAGTCTCTTTTGCAGGAACGGATAATCTGATCGATTCATTGTTACGAACATGGCCGTAAGACCATCAAAGCCTCCAATGCTGATAAGAAGAAGGGAAAGTCTTTTCATCAGGGTCCCATTTCAAGGAGGCGCGTAGGATGGAATCTGAAGAGGGTGCTTACCTCAAGCCTTATCATGCACCTTTCCATCAGCCGAGGCCCTTGCACTTGCTCGCATGTTTTTATTAATTATTTCAGTATTAACCAACATGTACAGACCTGGAGTGAATTTACCAATCGTAGACGTATGCTCGCCGCATTGTATTTTAAAAGTGAGGATTATTTTTGACAGCAGTCTATGAGGATCAAACTGCGCATACTACAACGATAACAGTTAGACTGTCATATGTGCATATAAGGAGTCAGTATAGGTCTTAGCATAAGAGAATATTTTCTTTTTGCAATTTTTGGTTTACCAAGCCAGAAGACAAACTGCTCTTTATAGTTCCAGCGTTTTCCAAATTTGATTTTGCACACAGCCGCATCGAAGGGTTTCATTTTCTCCTGCACCGCAATTTCCACTGTCTTTAAGGAATCTCCATCTGAGAAGATAAGAATAATAATCCGTAGATGGAATAAGAAATATGCTCACTGCTTGACAGTGCCAAGTGAGTAACAGAATTGAAGCTAAAGTTTTAGTACCTCCTAAGCGCAATCTATATCACTTCACACCATACAAAAGCATTCATTTTGTCTACATTAGTCGCTCGCTTTAACCTCAAAATACACTGCCTGCATCAGTTATGACACCAAACGAGGCATTTGACCTTCCTGGAAATCAAAGGTATAACACCAAGTCGAATCAAACAACATGCATATGGGTAGTGCTATTGTAGAAAATAGGAACCATATGCATTTACTTTAATTACCACGGGAGACGTTTACTGGTTTATGCTAGGAACTTCAATCTAAGAGCAGATTCAGAGGACCAGTTGGCGAGCGTGCGTTTGCTGATTTACGCGCAGTAGGTAAGGATAGGTTGCCAACTCAGACCACATCAATGTGCATCTAATCTTTTACTTGTTCCTGTGGAGCAGGTTACACTGGTCGCACGGGTAAAGGCCAAACTAGGAAGATGAACAGCACTGTCCTTGAGCATGCAGGTGATTCCGGACATCGTGTTGCCTCCAGCAAAGCTTTTGATGTGATTTATAAGGTTCTATCGAGTTACCCAGAGCTACAGTGGATTAAGTAACTCATGAAATGGCGATGGTATGAAAAAGGACCCCGCTTTACCGTCGGTAGACTGTGGATCACGTCATGTGGGCTTTTATCTTGGCATCAATTTGTGGACATTACACTGCTTAAAACAATCATTTGCCATGACTTCAAACCATCACGCGAACTCCTTTATTTTTTTGAAATGTACTTTTTGTTTATTTTTAACTACCACGTTCATTTCTGTTGTCGTGCGAAAGCGTACGATGAGTCTTTTGGGAGAAATCTGGGCAATTTCTGTGTTTTCCTGCATTTCCTCAGCTTACTGTCTAGTGTGCTGTCCCACCCGTAAAACTCCCCTTATCACCAACCACGTATGGCACGATCCACAGTCTACCGACAGTAAAGTGGGGTCCTTCTCTATACCTTTGCCCATGAAATATCTTAATCGTTATTTGAGTTGGTGAGCCGGCATAAATTTAGTGTGGTTATTTTTGTTTCTAGAATTGACTGGAATCTCAGAAAGCCCTTTTCTAAAGGAGAGGTCACGTTAGGTCTGTTTTATTTAGGAGAAACAGGCCAAAATTTTAAAAACTTTCAAGTTTCCGCATATTCATCTAATCCCCTATTCTAATAAGAATCACCTATTGAAACCTCTTATTTGCTAGCGTTGCGCTATAAAGAGGCTTTCATAAAACCGAGAAAAATAGAGAAGAAGCCCACTGTGGAAACGGAAACTGTTATTCTTATTTCATGAAAATCAGGTTATGGCAAGTATATAAAAACGCCTCCTTTTCAAGAAACAAGGAATAATTTGCTATTAGCAAATCCTATTTAGCAAGATTATAACGTTTAAAATCGCTTAACGCAGTTATAAGCTTTTTCGACAGTATCTGTCATACTACACCGGGGACTAGCGGGCTTAAACAAGTATATATAGTTTGCTCGCTACATGCTGCCATTTGCCCTTGCCACACCGTGCAGCAAAGATGTCCAAATAGTTCCTATGGGAAGTCGGCTTTACGCAGACACGAAAATTGGCTGCCGAAGGGCTGCCGTATGAGCCGTTAGCTAACGTTATCAATATTAGCTGGGTCATTTTCTTGAAAATTATTAGTAATGAAACAATGTCTGGAGTTAAGAAAGATGTAACAAAACGGTCCACAAGCAAGCAAGATGACGATTTCATTCGTCGGCCACTGGAAAATATGCCCGTTAAGGTCATTTACAGGGAAAACTTGTCAGCGTTTTCTTTGTGCATAATTATAAAAAAAGTGAAGACTTCGGCCTCCATCAGCAAAGCGACACGATAAAGCTATTTTTAAGTAGGACATTTATTGGAGAGCGTTTTTTGTTTGCTCAAAATATATATTTGTCGCAGATTTTCATTTTGGATAAGCATTTACTTTTGTGATGTGGTCTTATTTTTAGACAAGCCTCTGAAGTCGGACCATATGATCATATGTGGGAAGGAATGCCCACAAGAGCACACTATATCGACACCAACTGTTGAGAACTGTCGACGCCTGATGGCTTGGATAGCCATCACATTCAGAGAGTGACCGGTCTGGCGTCCAACAACGGAGACCATAAACAGTGAGGTGTTCAGCGAAATCGTAAAGGATGTCTCCGGTTACAGCGACATTCCTCGACGTCAAATGGACGCCGTGATTTTGCAGGATAATGCTTTTGTTCACCGCTCAAAGGAGGTAGGATTTTAATTCAGCTTGCGACTATAATCTAGTATTTTAGACCACAGCCATCCTCTTCGCCTGCGGTCTTCGAAGCATTTTTATTCTTGTCAACAGCCCCAACCTAGATCCGATCGAAAATGTTTTTGCATTAATCAAAAGAAGTTGGGACAGGGCAAGAAAACATCTTTGAATGGAGAAAAAGTTAAACTCTTTGCTCAATAATTGTATAGATCAAACCACCATAGACAACTTGGTAGTCTCCATGCCTCTCGCCTTACGGCAACTTTGCAAGTTAAGGGCAATAAACAAAGTGCTAATACACTGCATTTGTTACTGTTTTTCATCATTTTGTGGTTATAAGACATTTTTCTTCTCTATTTTACAGCTTTATTAGTCCTTGAATAATTAACCTGTCACAAAGTCGCTTTTTTATTTTGGTGATTTGGACTCCAGACGTCCCCCATGGTTTTTGGTGTGCAGCCAAGCGGGTCGAAAACGGAATATGGACCTTCCCAGTACTGCACGTGTCCTCATGCTATATTGCGGCGATACCTTTCCCCACATTGTAGCTTGAATCCCAACCCTGACCCCAACCGTACACATCCCGTCTGCCACCTGACGTCCATGCTAAGTGCCGCGTCTCTGCAGAACCACAGTCGGTTTGGCAACCCACACCGTCTACCAGAAACTGGCGGGCTAGGCCATCGAGGGACCTCCTGCAAAGCGAATTAGTCGAAAAGGAGAGCCATTTTGGACGTGGACGCTTCCACCAAAGTAAAAAGTTCGGTCTGAAAAAAAACACATGAGATTTTGTGGGGCAATGCACAGGGAAGTGAAACCCGAGCCAATGCGTACAACAAATATTGAGCACTCACTACAACGAGCCTTGCATCGACTGATTACGATGGTCCTCAAGCGAAATATACAACAATTCCGGACTCAGTAATAAGACAATGCCTTCGTCGTTATCGGAGGCGACAGAGTAGTGACATTCAGCAAAATCCAAATACTATTTTCGCAAACATCAGCTTTAAGATGGAAGAGACGAAGAGCATCCTGATGATCCCTACCGCGGTGTTCTTCTTCGTTGCCCATGAATGTGGCCCAGAAAGGAGATAACGAATATCCCCCAATTCACGCAAAAACCCATTTGCGTAAAGATGCTATAGTGGCATGTAGGCATACGCTACGGTAAATCGCAGGCTATCGTTGCCTCCGGCGCAACGTTATCAGCCGTCGCATGCAGAAGCGAGAAGTGAGGCAAAATAACCCCGGATGAAAATTCTGACGAGCTCTTCCATAGTTCAGGAAATCTCAAAGTTCGTTCACTGTCTTTGCATTTCCTCGCAGACAGACCAAGACAAATCACAGACACTGGTCGCTGAGACCAGATGATTCGAGAGATCCAGGAAGAGTACTTTGATTGCGGATGGCCACACTTTCGATGACTGTATGATCTGGGAGCTGCTGAAGTCCTGGTTCTTTGGCCTCCCCTTTCTAATGGGCTCGAAACTATTTGTCAAACGATGAGCGAGCAGGTGAGTCCTGTTTTCAGTGTCGGTACAAATGAACCAGATCACCAAGTCCCTAACACACTAGTCGTCAACGCTGGCGGTAGGATTGCGATCAATAATGACTCAATCGAGAGAGAGAAAGCGCATTACGAACATCTGCGATGATGACAACTTCTTGCCATGAGCTGCGACACATAGTGCAGGAGGTGGGCAAATTTCTTTAACAAAATGCTAAACTATTACCAATCAGAAATACCACTAAAAACCGCGCAGTTGAAGCTTTGAAGAATGTACGTATTACGTGAGGCAGTACAGCCTTATACTGACCACACAGTAGGCTTTCCATGTAAAATTTAGTTGCATTTTTATACAAGGTGTAATCTTACCGGAGTATATATTTGGATGTTTCACAAGCCTTCCGTTGAGACTGCACACGACCTGAAAGTACCCAGCAGAAAAACATAATTCCCATCTTGTAGCTTTTAGGAGTAGAATATCACTTACTAACAATAGTTTCCGGCACTTGAAAAACTGTACTTAACTACAGTCCCACTGCCAACTGTTGCCATGCCTGTAACGGACAACTGTAACCTTTAACTTGCAAGAATTCAAGGAAAAATCGAACACAACCGCAATCTTAGCCCGAGCCTGGCAACCCTAACCCCAAGAATAACCAAACTCCTAATACTAACCCTCGACGTAAAAATAAACCCAATCCTAACTCAGAGCCCGAGAAAGGCAACTTTAACGTCCGTAACGCTAGTGAAGGTCAAAAGGCGCATCCCGAATAACACCTTTTGCGACCCCTTGTCAGACAAGCCTTTATCAGTAACACCTACTTAAAAAAGAATGGGAGATGGATTTGTGAACAACCACCCGCAGTGGAAGGGGGTTACATACCCTACCCTCATGTAGTTGCCCAAAGCGCAGAGGCAAATGGTCCGTCCGAAACCGACTTTCTGTTCGTCGAGCAAAATTTGTCTGCACTAGATCTTGTAACGTTTAGGTAGCGAAGGTCGAAGTTATAAGTCGTAAGTAGCCGAAAGATGACTTAAGGTTCAAATGAACTACTTTCTCTAGATATTTGAGAAAATCATCCGTAGAATGATCTTTATGAGATTTTGAATCTCCTTGGTCTTTTGCAAAATCCCTTTAAACGCAAGGGCACCTGAGCGATACTTCTAATAAAAGAATTGTAATTGGCATCACATCCGAAGACAGAACCGAGTAATTATCTACCCGTACTTAAAAGCACTCTGGTTTGAATTGATTCTAGTCAATGACAGAATTTGCCCGTACGCCGAGTCACGCGGGAGATGCGCTGGACCAACAGGAAGTCAGATCGGAGCACGGTACGCCATAACCGGGCTGCGCTTAGTCGACGCATTCCATGCAAATACCACAAACTGGAATGGCAGATTCAGACTTGTTCTACACCATCTACTTGCTCTTAATCCCATCACCAAATGACTGACAGGTTCGGACAGGGGACTGTTACAAGGGAGAGGGAATAAAAAGTGAGGTCGACTCTCTAGATACCGGACCAGGGGCACAACAGTATAGTTGATTTGATACGCTTTTAAACTAACATGGCACATTAAAGACCGGGGTTTGAAAGGATGTCAACTAAAGGGGTAACGCGGCTCTCTCCACAGGACGGAATGTCAGGCTGCGATGGCCCTTTACGGTACCCTTCCTCACTCCCTTCTGATCCAAGTCGCCCCCTTTCTCATTGTGTGAAAGACACACACACATGTCTACGTGGACTGGGTCGTTATTGGTACACGTAGACCGGCTTTTTAGCTTTGCCAGTAGGTCTACGAGCCCCCTCCGATTGTTCTTGCTTTGCAATGCCACAGGGCCCCGGCGGTTGAGAGAAAACGTAGTGCGGCAGAACGTTACCCTGCCACCGCACCCCGAATGTCGGCGTTTGTTATGGGTGTGCATTCCCGATAACGCCTATCGGAATCCAGTGTGTTCATCGGGTTGGTCCAATGCATCTACCACGCAGCCCCTTTTATGGTTCTAGAAAACTAACTCGTACGCAGGTCACCGTCCCTGCGTCCGTCACGCAAGGTAAATACCGTCCTGAGCGACTACTCGTTTGTCGAAATGGCAGAGTAGGAAAGACAAGGCAGACTTTGTATCATGACATGGGGCAGCTGCCGTTATCGACTTGCGGCGAAAGTCAAAACAGTTGCGTTCTGTAGTACCCTTGATACTTCTGAGAAAACTCTAGAGTCTAGGACTTGGATACAGTCTTCTGGCATACAAGTCCACCAGGATACTTTAACTACAGTGCGTGACCAATCTGGTGCAATGTTGGCCAAAATTCTGAAGTGAGTTCCCGACTAGGAAGGATTATTTAGGTAGGGTTGTAATAATGATAAGTATGCAGCATAAGTCCACAGCATTTTTGACTTACCAAGATGTCGGCTTTTGGATGCACACCTTCTTGACCTCCTCCATGAGCCGCACTTTGTAAAAAATGACTACTTATGTAGTATGCATTTTTTCTATTGATTTTCAATAGTCTTGTGCATTCAAATATATGTTATAGAAACAATGCACAACAATATGCTTTATTTTTCTCCTTTGGTAGAAAATCACATTGTCTTGATATTTTATTCTCGACGAAAGGGTATATTTAGGTTTCGAAAAAGCTTTCCAATTCCCGAATAATTTGAGCCTGATCTGCCATTGCATTAGTGTTTGGCTATTTCAGCCAACAAGGTGCTTGCTTACCTCGTAAGGAAAATAATATATTCCTTTTTTTCTTTCAGAAGGTACCAGATAGAGTTCATAAATTTCGCAATGGATCTGGACTGTGTTGTGCATCTCATTTGGAGCTTTGGTAAACGGACATGTGCGGTCCCGTATGCATGGACATCGCACGACGTTAAAAGTCTCATAATTAGAAACCTTTTTAAAACCCAAATATACACTTTCTTTTAGTATAAAATATCAAGACAATATGATTTTCTGCGAAAGGAGAAAAATAAAGCATATTGTTGTGCATTGTTTCTATAACACATATTTGAATGCACAAGACTATTGAAAATCAATGGGATAAATGCCTAATACGTAAGTAGTCATTTTTTACAAAGTGCGGCCTCTGCAGGAGGTCAAAAAGGAGTGCATCTGAAAGCCGACATCCTGCTAAATCCGAAATGCTATAGGCTTATGCTGTATACTTATCATTATTACAACTCCATCTAAGTAATCCTTCCTAATCGAAAACGCATTTCAGAATTTCTGCCAACATTTCATGAGATCGCTCACGCACTGTTGTTCGAGCTGACTAGCATCTCGTTAATTTAGAAAGATAAGGCAAATATTTGAAGCTCTTTAAACATTATTAATTTCCTGGTCCTCTAAAGGATAAACAGTTAATTTACTTTTAAATAGCTGAGCTCTTATTCGCTTCAGGACCCCTTACGTATGTGAACATGAAGTAAGGGCGCGTGATCTGCATCCAAGTATACGTAAAATAATCATCTGGTTGAAATTATAGGATATTTGAAAGTGTCTTTGGTCATGCAACTTCCTTAGAATTCGCAGGTAAATTGAGCTTTTGCGTAATTTTGTTGAATGCTTAAAGGTATTTTGTAGAAGCCATCATAGTTCTCAGCTAGTTGCCACTTTCTGGAGCGAAGAAGGCAAAAGTTACATGGTGACATTTGCTCGCGTTACCTTTTCTGGCAAGCGCGTTTGCCATCCCAGGAGCGTCTTTTCTTTTTCCGTGCAGGTAACAATAGATGTCGGTCCCCGAGATGGCACTTGAAACGAAAAAATACAGTTTATAATCTTAAAAAAGTCTTATTTCTAAAAGTAAATAGTAAATAAACTACTTGACGTTTTGTGAGGACCCAAAAAGGACAGGACTTGAAGGCACATTGTCAAAAACAGGGCATAAGACGAGCGAACAGCTGAGCTAACAGGAAACAACTTACATTTCGCGCTCTTTTTTCTGAATATTCCCCCAACATGTAGATTTGGCTCAGTACCAGAGAAGACGTTTATTTGGTTAACACCTCTCACGTCTGGAAGTTGCAATGTTAGCCAGCAGAAATCACGTTCTAGAAGTTTATAAAGAGAATGTTTCAGGCAGCGCATTCGAGGAAAGTTCGTTTATAATCTAATGCTCTTACATAATGTTCTCAGTGACAGCCTGAATTTATACCAATTTATTAAAATAATGTATTTCGCAGAATTTTTCTTAATAAATGCAAACTCCAATTTCTTCAAGTGGGTGATAGTAGTGCAAACAATGTGGCTGATAAAAGAACTTTAACAGAAGTGGTCGCTTCGAACACTGATACTGAGTAAGCATGTATAGGGACAAGGTAAAGGGACGCCAACCGATAGTTTTTATGGAACTTACACATTCCATTGTGCCTTAGAGCTCTCTCTCGAGCCAAAAAAGCAGCCACACAGCGGCGCATAGTATAGGTTAGATAGCATAACCAAAAATGGCAAGGGAGACTGAAATAGCAATTTCTGTAAAAAAAACAGTCCGAGAGGCCCCGTCTACCATTGTATGTTTCCAATCACAGCCGACAGGACAACGAACCTCTGGCTCAGTGTTTACAGATAACGCGACATAGCCCCAGATGTTACATACCTCGGGGTTGCGTATGCTTAGCTGACTACGGCTTATAAGCCAGAACTGACCATTTAAATCACCCTTTTCTTTGTCGGTAATACTATTTTGCCTACATATACAGTGAGTGACCGATCTCATGAAATGTTGATTGAAATTCCGAAATGCCTTTTCGATTGAAAGATTTACTTGGGCGCTGTTGTAGTACTGATAATCTTATAAAATAAGCCCATAATATTTCGGATTTGGCAGGATGAAAGCTTTTGAATTTTAATCTCCTGTAGAAACTGAGCTCGGTAAAAAATGACTACTTATGTAGCATGATTTTCGATGGTCTTGCAAATTTCAATATATTTTATAGAAACTGCGAATAAAAATATGCTTTTTAGTGGTTTGATAGAGAATCACGCTCCTTTATATTTAATACTCGTAGAAGGAGTATAATTAGGTTTTAAAAAGTTTTAAATTATGCGAATGTTTAAGACCGTGTAATGTTTATTCATGCAGCGTCGTACCCGTACGTTTATCACTGCTTCTCATGAAATGCACAACATGAACCGCATCCGTTGCAAAATGTTATGGACTCTATAGAGTATTTTCTTAATAGCATAAAAGAATATACCGTTTTATTTACGGGGAACGCATGCATCTTATAAACTAAAATCACTAAGCACTAATGCAACGACTGATCAGGCTTCGACTTATTCGAGAATAAGAAAGCATTTTTAAAACCTCATTATACTTCTTCTTCGAGCATAAAATATGAGGACGACGTGATTCTCTATTAAACGATTTAAGGCATTTTTTACTCGTGGTCTCTATAAAATATAATTGAATTTGCAAGAAAATCGAAAATCAATATAAAAAGTTTATGCTACATAAATAGTCATTTTTCATCAAGGCTTATTTCCACAAGAGATTAAAAAGCAATGAGTTCAAAAGCTAACGTCCTATCAAGTCCGAAATATTATAGGATTATGTCGCAAGATAATCATTACTACAACCGCGCCCAAGTAAACCTTCCAATCGAAAACGTATTTCAGAATTTCAGCCAACATTTCATGAGATCGGTTTCTCACTGTATATACAATATATATCATATCTCCTGAAAGCTAATGACAGAATCTGAAATGAAAATTTTCTCACACCGAAGCCATTGTGCATTTTACGCACTTACCTAGCCCCTTCAGGTTTATGTACTCTTTCCGTGCAGAAAGTGTGTCTGAGTTATTTTATTAAACAGAATGTGCATAGGTTTGAACAAAAATGGATGTTGAGGTACACGCTGGCAATTTCCGCCCTTGAAAGTTGATTTCCTGTCTGAGGCCAGACGTGGGAAACAGTTTGCAAACAAGCAAATTCTTTTTTAGAGAAACACGCATCTTATAGATTTATAAAAACCAGGTTGCCGAATATGTGCGATGAGAAAAATCCATGCAACTCAAGAAGCCACTTTTTACAGATTTCATTTTAAGCAGGCGCCCGAGAAGAGGTTCACACAAAAGGCGGTTTCCTGAAGTGATTGAATTATTACAAGACTCGATGATCAATATTGCAGTGGGTGGGCTAATTCATGAAATGTCTAACCGAAATTCCAAAATGCGTTTTCGTTTCGACAAGGTTAATTCGGTAGGTCTCTGAAACTGACCATTATGCAGCATAATTTTTTAATAATTCAGTTGCCTCAGGATGGCGGAGTTCGAATGAACTTCGTTGCGGTTACACGCAAAAACTAAACTCTGCAAAAATGACTACTAACGTAGCAAGCATTTTTCTGGTAGATTTTCGATGTCCTTGAAAAGTGAAGTACATTTCATGGAAAACATGCATTGGTAGGAAATGACGTCTTCTCCCAATTTTATACTCAAAGAATGAGTATTACTGGTTTTAGAAAGTTTCTAATTGTGTGATTGTTTAATACCGTGAAATATCCCTTCACAAAACCTCATGTTTCTGCATTTTCCAATGTGAATGGTAAAGTTATCAATATGGCTCAAATCCACAGTATTATTTTATGAACCCCATATGGTCTCCTCTTAATTCTGTGAAGAAATGTATGGTTTGCCGTACTCGGAATATATACGGCTTATAGTTCGAAAAAACTGAATTCATGTATAGCGGCAGGTCCGGTTCAGAATTATTCGGGAACGTTTTTCAAAACGGAATCATACCCTTCCTTTGGGTGTTAAATAGGAAGAAGACGTCATTTTCTGCCAGATGAGCAAAAAATGAATATTTTTATGCATGCTTCCATGAAATATAATTGGATATTTAAGAGCATCGAAAATAAATGAGAAGAATGTATGCTTCTGATGTAGTCCTTTTTTACAGGAAATGGTTTTGGCATGCAGTCGAAAGGAAATTCATTCGAAAGTTGGCATCCTGAGGTGACTGAAGTATTATAGAATCATACTGCATGATGATTAGTTTCATAACCCTTTTAAATTGATCTTTACGAGACGAAAACGCATTTCGGAAGTTTGATTGACATTTCATGAGTTAGTCCACCTACTGTGCAATCCTACTTAAGTAATCCTATCGAGTCGATAACACATTTCGAAATTTCGATTAATTTTTCTTGAGTTAGCATATCTACTGTATATAACGGTTAAGGGGTAGTTGGACATGGCTTTGATGTAGCCTTTTGTCCAAAGGGATCCTCTATTTTTTCTTATTTTTCTGTTAAGACGTACACCATGCCTAATCTCGTAATGCATTTCACAAGGGTCACTTAAATTTACTTCTGTTAAAAAGAAAGGTAAAAGGCCTTAGCTTACCGCAAATCATAGGGCAAGGGAAGCCACCATTACTAGTAAGACAGACATTGGCTTCCAGTGTGTAGATGTAGTTTTTGTCTGGTAGTTCAATTCTCTTTAAAATAATTAGAAACAGAGGTCTTCTAAGAACATATTAAAATTTATGAGATGCCTTAAGCAAAAGTATACGGAACTGCTCTGATATAATAGATATCGTTTCGAATCCCCGCATAAGAAGTCTGCCGGTTGCCTAGAAATGGGAATAGAGATTGAGGTCGACGACTCAGCGCACTTCCTTCAATACAAACAACCTGAGGCGTTTAAGTCTATCACGGTGCTTTGAAAGCACTGGTTCGTCAACTGAGGAAGTAACTGTGTCCTTCTGTCAGGAAGGAGTGGTAAACTACATTACCGCCCTTTTAAATTGACCTTTAAAACATTTCCACTTAGTTGAACTGCAAGATGCCGGTCCCCTTGTTGTTTTGTAAAGTCGTGGTATTTTCTGTGCCGACCAGGGGTCGTCTAGATGGTGGGTCACTCGCCGCCAGCCACAGAAGCCCTCCGATGCCTTCCGTTTTCTGCACTCTGCCTCGACATCGGACTCAGATATGTAAGGGAGAAGGCAGTGCGGTAGATACTGCTCAAGTTTCCCATCACTACAAACTAGTTCACGAGCAAGTCCCGTCCATGCACCCACTCTGCTCTAGATCATTCGGGAGCCATCGTCGGAAACGCGGGTCGAACCGTCACACTCTTCAACAAAAGTAGCAAAGGACCACAGTAATTAATGGTTTTAGCAATCAAGTGGATCCTGAAAGTCTTATCTCAGAGAAGGATCGCACATTGTTCTTTTACTATTTACAATGACGTTGTCGGGATAAATGTGCATGATATATAAAATTAAATCAGGTTATTTTGTTTAATAGGATTGAGTGAAGAAAATATATAAGTGGTGACTTGGCTTGCGTTTATGTATCTGATCAAATCCAGTTTAAATAAATGACAGTTCATGAAAATCTCCTCTTATCTGTCTAAGCTTATTACCGTCTACATCCGGCATTTATTGGAGTCCTGCAGTACTAATTAGGGAGTTTTGATGAGCTTTCCTACAACCAAACACTTTATAAGGCAAACGCGAGCCTATGTATACGATGTAAGACATTCCATCTCTGTATGCTAACCCCGGAAAATTTAAGTCTAACAGCCGTAACGCTAGCACACCCAAGAAAAAGATTCTTTCACGAAGAAGATATAAAAATGCATTAGTCACGACCCATTTCGATAAAAATACTTACCACTGGCGGATTTAGAGTTAAGATCGTAAGATTCAGTGGTCCGGCAATCCGAGTGATGAGAGGCGGTAGGTAGTCGCAAGTTGGCATTACGATAACTTTAAAATGAGGTTCAAATTTACGAAGGATTAAAAAATTCTTGGCAAAAGCATGTCATTTAACTTCTAGGTAAACATTAATTTCTCATTTTTGCTACACGAGATAAAAACACAATGAAAAACGAAGAGGACGCTCTATTATATCATTTGGTTATATAAACTTTCAGCAGCATAAACCTAGTAGCACCTCTCAAATTATGGACGCGTACAATTTCAAAAGATTACTGAACGCAAACAAATGTGCTTCAATACGAAAATGGCATAGTAAATGTTTAACCTGCTGAAACTCGGCCAGCTAACGTATTAAGGAAAACCGAGAGAATCAGTATCAATCTGCAAACTTCAGACATGACGCCTGCGTTCACTGAGGGCATGGACTACTGCTAGACCTTAAATCTGGCACTGTTGACCTCGCTGCTGCAGCCTGCACGTCAACTGATTAAAACGTCCAATGGAATTTTAAATAATTTTATTGGCGTGCACCAACAGGCAGGCAAGAACAACTTGATCTTAGTGGGGAGTTTAAAACACATAATAAACATGAATTTTCGAAGGGAATATATTACTATGAGACAAGAATAAAATCAAAAAACCAATAAAATGTGTTCGAGAACCGTGAAGTGTGAAGCAGATGGACTGATCTCCAGTTCAAGAACATTTTCAGATCCACTTAAAGGATAAAGGCGGACTCTCAGGGGGTGCTGTGGGCTGCCAAATGCGGATGTTAAGCAAACAAACCACAATTAACGGCGTTCATACTTAGCGCTTAGGTTTATACTTTACATGAAAATTACTCGGGCTAACCAATCCGTGCCTTTATATAACAATGCTCCCAGCAATGACACTAATGGGGCCAGGTGTTGTGCAAAAAACCAAACCAGTCCTTAACAGTAATGATCAATGCTCTGAAAATGGCCATTTGAGTGCATGCGACCAGGCGGTCATCGCACAAAGTATGATATTTACAATATATGTATATATATATATATATATATATATATGAAAACTAAAAGCCGTTATTCGGAAAAGTCGAGTTGTATTCTTGAATTTTCGAGCTGGTGACACCAACCCGTCGTCAGACGAAATGAATACAAGGGAGAAAGTTAGGTTTCCACTGTAGACCAGTTGATGTGATAGGACAGACGGACCACTGACATGTGAGGGGGCGGCTCCTGAGGTCACGGTAGGTCCCTGGATGAGAAGGAAGAACGGTTTCACCAGAGATTTAATGACATCTTGCCAGCCATACAGTTTACCCGCGGAGAGACAATTGGAGACAGTCTACAGTTTCTGGATGTGGGGATACAGAAGTTGAGCGATGGTAGCCTAACAACAAGCGTTAACAGGAAAGGCTCTAATTCTGAGACTATCCTCAACTATGGAAGCAACCACCCTGCAGCTCACAAAAGAAGCTGTTTCCGAACCCTTTTCTACCGAGCCTACCGTTATTACAACGGCAACGATCTCCTGAACAAAGAGCTTGCTCACCTGTATCGGTTATTCTGCTCCAACGGATATCTTAGCGGTTTTGTAAAGAACTGCCTCAGGCATCAGACACAGTTGCAAGACCCCACCCCGACGGAGAGATTGGGACACGAAAGTTCTACTCCTTGCCATATATGCGTGAAACTTCTGAGATGATCACTTGGCAGTTCAACCGCTTGGGCATTCACGTTGCCCACAAACCGGCATCTTCAATACGCGCAGCACTATCTCAAGTAAAGGATACCATCCCCAAAGAGCATCAAGCGAATATAATTTGTCGCATCGGGTGCGCTAATTGCTCTTGCGTGTATGCTGGCCATACTGGTCGACGCCTGGGTACTTGCATCAATGAATACGAATTAGACATCCGTCTGCGAGACCCCTGTCCGTCGTCTTTGCCCATGCAATCGCGTACGACCACCGATTCAATTGGGATGGCACTCAGGTTGTCGCCATGGCTAACAGAAAACGAGCGAGGGAATATCTCGAGACCTGGTACTCTAATGCAGGTGGTATCAACCGCCATGTTGACTTAGATGCCCATATGAGGGTCAACGTTCACGACTGGATGCCCCCTGCCCTAATCATGCATCAACGACCGCGAATACAGCTGCCCGCATTCCAACTGATTCACC